GCTTTAGAACACTGCTGATCTAATGGCTCAGACTTCTGAGCCGCATCCTCGTGTGTGTGTTCCTTCTGTCTGAGGCACCTCTCCGTCACACTTGATGGGTGAACATAATGACCCAAGCAAATGGAAAAATAGATATGAGACGGAGAGATAAAGAGATAGATTGGGGGCTGACAGAGAGAGACAGAGGGATAAAGATGGGGGTTTGGCTGACTGACTGAATTTTTCTATCTGTGGTTGAGTTGGCACCCCCCACAGAGCTTATAAAGAGAGAAATTCAGACGGGCAGAGACAAGTAGTTTGCACACGCACGCGCACATGCACACACACACACACACTTGCGTCATTACACACAATAATAAAGGCACAAATCAACTTTAACTAAGACAATCATGCAAACACCCCACTGTGCATAGGTGTAAACAAATGTGCCTGCCACACATGCACACACACGTGCACGCACACCACACACACACCTGAGGGTCCCTGGGTGGGTGGATTAGTTGGAACTTGGCAGGGGAGACAGAGACAGCGTGCTTATTCTTCCTCCCCTCCTCCCTCCCCTTCTCCCTCCCCTTCTCCCCTCTTCTCCCCCCACGCCACTCTTTCTCGCCTGCCCGGGGCCAGGCTCGGGTTTCAATGAGGAGATGGTAAAAATAACCCCCTCATCCTCCTCCTCCCCCTCCTCCACCTCCTCCTCCTCCTCCTCCTCCTCATCCTCCTCCCCCTCAACTGCCAACCACTTCACTCTCCCTCCCTTCTCTCTCCCAAACCTCCCCCTCCCATACCTTTGACACCCTGTCCTCGACTCCCAGTATCAAGTTACTGCTGCCAGAGCTCAGAGCAACACTGGAGAGAGAGACAGCGAGCGAGAGAAAGAGAGGGAAAGAGAGGGAGGATGGGGAGGGAAAGGGGGAGACAGGGGATGGGGAGAGGCAGAGAGATGGGGGAGGGAGGAAAGAGAGGACAGAAAATAAGTGATATAGAGAGCGGAAATTGCACATCACACCCCCTCTTTACAACCAAAGCACAGCGACATCGCACCACACACATACATATGCTCACACATATCTGCTCAGGAAACAGTTCTGTATAAATAATAGTATTCATAAAAAATAAGATCAGAGTGACTTCTACATTACCCCTCACCAAGCTCATTATAATATTGTCCATAGTACACCTTTTTGAAATAATTGGTGAATGTCTGCCCCATTATTTTTTGGTGGACTATATTTATTTATGAAGAGTATTTGTTTTCGAAGAAGGATAGCTTTGGATTGAGCACCCTGTTTTGGAATAATTTAGGTCATGGTGAGATAGTGGTGGGTTTTCTGGTGAGTTAGTGATGAGTTAATGAGGAGATAGTAGTGTGATAGCAACGAGATAGTGATGTTAATGGTGAGATAATTATGAGTTATTGAGATAGTGGTGAGTTAGTGGTGACTTAGTGGTGAGTTAGTGGTAAGTTAATGGTGAGTTAGTGGTGAATTAGTGGTGAATTAGTGGTGAGTTAAATAATGAGATGGTGTTATTGGTCAACGATGAGTTCATAGTTCATGTTCAGTTAATGGTGCGCTAACTCTTTTCCTGTCCCCCCCCCCCCCCCCCCCCCCCCCCCTCCCACAGAGAACTCCCACACCCCCGTGCTGGAGGGGGGCGGCCACAGTCACATGACCCCGGAGGAGCACTATAGGCGGATGATGTCAGCGCTGAACGAGCAGGGCTCCTACGAGGAGCAGCAGCAGCGCCTCTACCAGCTGGCCAACAACATGGGCCTGCCCAGCCACGGTGAGACTAGTGTGTGTGTTTGTGTGCTTGTGTGTGTCCACCTACACAGACGTACACGTGGGTGTAGGTGGACGCTGTCCCAGTCAGGGTCTAGTGGTGAAGCCTACCATCCTCCTAAACATCCGCTCGTTATATCAGAACTTCAGGATTCAGTCCCCTAACTACACACACCTCATCTAGGCCTGTCACACAGCAGACCTATACACACACCTGACCCTACTCAACCACTGCTAGTGGTATCCCCTGGGTTGTGGCCTTTTCTCGTGTGGCATCTGTTTGTGGGTGTGCCACCATGCCAGTGTAAATCTCCAGCATGGAGACTGCTGACATTTCTATTTGGGGTGCCAGCCCACCCAATGTCAAAATGTCACTCTGGTTGATTTGTGACCAACGCTGTGCTCCGATGTAAAAACACTGCTAGCCAGCACACACGGACGCCACTATCGATCCGCTGCTCACTCACTGGCTGTCAGCCAACCCTGTAAATCTCCCAATACCATTTTCCCAATACCATTTTTCGTAGTTTTTTTTTTCTTTGTTTTTTTTCGGGACTTGAAATTTACACCTGCTAACTTATGGTAAAACTGTGTTGGAACTCGACAGTAAAATTAGAAAAAGTCACCTAATTTGTTCGTTTTTTATGTGGCAGGGTGTATTGTCATTTCGCCACCACTGTAAACTTGCGGGGACATCAATTGTTAACCTTTCTTCTGTTTTTAAAAGAATGTAACATTAATTGCCGCCAGGATTTACGACCCCCTTCGCGTTAGCATAAATCGAATCCATTTTACATCTCAACTCCAATCGTAGTTTGAGCTACTTTAATTTTTATTTGATTAGTAATAATTTTTAATTGCAGGCTGCAAATCTATAAAGGCTTTAATGGCCTCCCCCTTGCATCTGAGAAGAATTAGGGCTGATGTGCAATGCATTTTGGGGGTTTAATGGACCCAGGGTGCCGTATTCTCCCCATTTCCCTTCCCAGAAGGCGCTCTGTTTTTAATGCAGACACTGTGGCGCAATGCAGACATCTCGTGGGGATGCTCTCTCGCTCTCTTTCTCACTTTTCAGAGTTTCAACTAAATCCTCTACTCTCTTTTCTGCCCACATTCCCTTTTATCTACAGTTTATCTACGCCTTTTCCAGGTGTAAAAGAAAGAAATAGGGTTAGGGGTTAGGAGAGAGAGAGAGAGAGAGAGCATTTTAAGGAGGGAGAAAATGGGAAGAGATGAGTGAAAGAGGTAGAATTGCCTTTCTTTAGAGCAAGACAACAAGTAAAAAACACAGGATGCATGCTGATGATTAATTAATGATGTATGTGCCTTTTGGCAGTAATATCCAGGAAATAATATACACATACTTGTGCCATTTAAAACCACACACACACACACACACACACGCACGTGCACACACACTCATGTGTGCTTGTGTGTGTACTGATTCCCCTAATCGGATGATAAGACATCACGTCCTAGGCATTGCCAACCCATCCTAGCATCCAAGTCTTTGGTGTTTCTGATATTCATCCTGGATGCTGCACCTGGTGGGTGCCTTCATCAATCCACAAGCCTGCTTTCCCCCTAAGTTAGGCAGAGAAAACTTACTTTGAAACTTAAACTTTTAGTTTCAACACAAAAACAACAAAAAACGCTATATATCCATTGTTTAGCTGGAATGGAATGTTCGTATCCTGTATATTTGACTGTGATATGTGGTTGTCTCACCTAGCTATCTTAAGATGAATGCACTTACTGTAAGTCGCTCTGGATAAAAACATCTGCTAAATGACTAAAATGTAAAATGTAAAATGTAAATGTTTTACATACAGATCTCATATTACTGTACAGATTTTTGTCACAAATGTATCATTTGTACAGTTCTTTATAAAAATGTAGTTATATTACATTTGACTGTAAAACCTAGCAGTACTACATATTTCTTTGAGAGTGAGTTGGATAAATAGCATTTTGCAAAATAATTGTATTATTTGTCTCTCTGAAATGAACCATCAAGTGATAGATTTTAAACAAATACATGTCTGTCATTGAACAATCCCATGCCATGATTAGATAGTGAAAAAACACACAAATCTCTGTCATAATATCTTTAAACAGTAAAAGCTAATTTAACAACATTTCTGAAAATGGATATATATTGAACAAAAATATAAACGCAAAATGCAACAATTTCAACGGTTTTACTGAGTTACAGTTCATATAAGGAAATCAGTCAACTGAAATAAATTCATTAGGCCCTAATCTTTGGATGTCACATGACTGGGAAGGGGCTCAGCAATGGGTGGGCCTGGAGGGCATTGGCCCACCCACTTGGGAGCCAGGCCCACTCACTGGGGAGCAAAGCCCAGCCAATCAGAATTAGTTTTTTTCCCCACAAAAGGGGAAATGTATTTTATTACAGACCGAAATACTCCTCAGTTTCATCAGCTGTCCAGGTGGCTGGTCTCAGATGATCCCGCTGGTGAAGAAGCAGGAAGTGGAGGTCCTGGGCTGACGTGGTTACACGTGGTCTGCGGTTGTGAGGCCGGTCGGACGTACTGCCAAATTCTCTAAAACTACTTTCGAGGCTTTCTCTTATGGTAGAGAAATTAACATTAAATTATCTGGCAACAGCTCTAGTGGACATTCCAGCAGTCAGCATGCCAACTGCACGCTCCCTCAAAACTTTAGACATCTGTGGCACATTTTAGAGTGGCCTTTTATTGTCCCCAGCACAAGGTGCACCTGTGTAATAATCATGCTGTTTAATCAGCTTCTTGATATGCCACACCTGTCAGGTGGGTGGATTATCTTGGCAAAGGAGAAATGCTCACTAACAGGGATGTAAACAAATTTGTGCACAACATTTGAGAGAAATAAGCTTTTTGTGTGTATGGCACATTTCTGGAATATTTTATTTCAGCTCATGAAACATGGGACCAACACTTTACATGTTCCGTTTATATTTTGTTCAGTGTAAAATGTACTATTCGTTTAATAATTTTTCTGAGTAGGCTTCTGTTGCCATGTTTCTGACCCTACAGCACCTATATCAGTCCACCACTCCTCTTCTCTTTTCCTCTGTTTGTAATTCTCTATTAAGCAGATGATTGGTTGTCCCTGAGTGTAGTTCTACTTTTTTCTCTCACTTCATCGTACAGGGAATCGCAAATCCCTCTCTCCTCCCCCTCAACTACCCCCCTTCCTGTCCTCTTTCAGTCTGTCGCTCTCTCCTCTGAGGGGATGGAGTAGAGGTGTGACAGATGGAGGGAGAGAGGAAGGGATGGCCCTGTTTGTTCCTGGAGAGGTTGATCTGAATCGCTCCAGTGAGATCCCCCTTGACATTGACCTGAGCTCCGGTGGGCCCCTGTGACCCTCCTCTGCCCTTCCCCCCTCTCTCACACACCTCCCTCTCTCCCCTTCCCCCCTCTCTCACACACCTCCCTCTCCAAGCACAGGGGTTGCTTTTATATTCTCTATTTTTTTCCTCTCTCCTTTTGTTTTTTCTCACTCCGACTCTCCATTTCGCCTTGGTCCCCGCAGAGCATCCTTTCATGTGTTTCAAGTGGAGTGTACGAAAAATGAAAGTGTGTGTGTGAAGTGGGCGAGAAGAAGCAGAATGTGTGTGTGTGTGTGTGTGTGTGTGTAAGGTGTTATTTCGGGAGGCTCTCCTTGGACCTGACGGGGAGGGGGGAGGGAGGCAGTGGAAGTGGCCAGGGGTGCTCCCCCGTCCGCTTTTCTCTCTCTGTTATGACGAAAGGATTGAAAAGAAAGGAAAGAGGGGTTGGAGGAGGTCGACATGGAAGACTAAAGAGGAGGGCTTTGTTTTGTCTCCTGTACTTCTGTCCGTTGCTCTCCTAGCAGGGCTGCAGTGTCATTAAGATCGGCATGGTAGGAACACATCTTGAAATGCCCATAGTTAAAAGCCTGGGAGAAATTCATCCGGCTTTTGTCTTTCCATATAACATCTACTTGTTTATACCATTGGCTTTGGAAATAGGCAGACTGACTTGTATCCCAAATGGTACCCTATTCCCTATATACTTCCTTAGTTACTTATTTTCAAAAGTAGTGCATTATGTATGGAATACGGTGCCAGTCCCCAATCCATCATGAGCTTGGCTGGGCCGTATCACGGGAATAACAGGACTAATTTTACATTCTCCCTTGGAGGAAATTCCAGTTTAACGGATGGGATTTCTGCATAATTCCGAGAAGATAAGGAGGACAAACAAGCAGGATGGGTCCAGAGTGGGACCTCCCAAAATAACTGTGTGTGTGTGTGTGTGTGTTTGTGTGTGTGTGTGTGTGTGTGTGTCTAGGGCTGTTGCCGTGACCGTATTACCGCCACACCGGCGGTCACGAGTCATGAAGCCGGTCAAGTTCCACATGACCGTTTAGTCACGGTAACTAGGTTTCTCCAAGCTCTGCTGCTGCTGATGGTCATTCGGATGGGGCCACAGTGTCTCCGGACCGCTCCTGTCTCAGCCTCCAGTATTTATGCTGCAGTAGTTTATGTGTCGGGGGGCTGGGGTTAGTTGGTTATACCTGGAGTACTTCTCCTGTCTTATCCAGTGTCCTGTGTGAATTTAAGTATGCTCTCTCTAATTCTCTCGTTCTCTCTTTCTCTCTGAGAACCTGAGCCCTAGGACCATACGTCAGGACTACCGGGCATGATGACACCTTGCTGTCCCCAGTCCGCCTGGCCTTGCTGCTATTCCAGTTTCAACTGTTCTGCCTGCGGCTACGAAACCCCTACCTGTCCCAGACCTGCTGTTTTCAACTCTTAATGATCGGCTATGAAAAGCCAACTGAGAGACCTGAGCCCTAGGACCATACGCCGGGACTACCGGCCGTGGTGACTCCTTGCTGTCCCCAGTCCGCCTGGCCTTGCTGCTATTCCAGTTTCAACTGTTCTGCCTGCGGTTATGGAACCCCTACCTGTCCCAGACCTGCTGTTTTCAACTCTTAATGATCGGCTATGAAAAGCCAACTGAGATTTATTCCTGATTATTATTTGACCATGCTTGTCACTTATGAACAGTTTTGAACATCTTGGCATGGTTCTGTTATAATCTCCACCCGGCACAGCCAGAAGAGGACTGGCCACCCCTCATAGCCTGGTTCCTCTCTAGGTTTCTTCCTAGGTTTTGCCTTTCTAGGGAGTTTTTCCTAGCCACCGTGCTTCTACACGTGCTTCTACACCTGCATTACTAGCTGTTTGGGGTTTTAGGCTGGGTTTCTGTACAGCACTTCGAGATATTAGCTGATGTAAGAAGGGCTATATAAAATAAAATTGATTGATTGAGTAGCCTACCAAACTTGCTAACTGCCTGGTACTCAGCACTCCATTGTCCCTCTAATCACTCTGACATCAATGGAAATGTTTTCGAAAATCGAATCAAACACTTAATGAGAGCCCATGATGTTGCGCAACATTTCTATAGGCTATGCAATTGCGGGAGAAAACAGAGTAATGGCCGCTAATAAAAAGAGGAAGATCCCATCAGCTTTCTATAGGCTAGACCTACTATATTTATTTCTCAACTTTCCTAATATTAAGCACATTGCTTATATTTACAACACGAGTATAGTCTACCTGGCTGGCATGAAAATAAACCACGGGGAAAAGCGTCCTCCATTCGCTATTTAAGTGCATATATGACATGTATTTTTTCCCGCTGCCCCTGTTTAGATACAGGTGCATGATAATGGTCCATTCTACATCAAAACAAATGTCATACACATATTATTTAGTATATGTAAAGACAAGATTAAATCAAGAATAGTCTGATGGGTGACAATATCAGCCTATCATTTGTGAATGATATATTATCACTTGTGAATGATGCCCAGCATAAGAAACAATGCCTTTTTTTGGTACCTTTTCTAATCATAGTCACACACCTCATGTAGCCTAGCCCATAGGCCTATATGTTTTCATAAGGTTTGTATCACAACTAAAGTGGCCAAATAACTTCTTAAAATTAAGCACATTAATCCGCTTTACAAGGGGTGTAGAGCCTAACTGGGATATATAAGTAGCGCATGAGTTTCAAGTTTGGGGAAGATCATTTTCACCATAAAAATGCACCTTTATAATAAAAGCATTACATGCCTAATTGTATTTGCGGTCACTTTTGATAATGGTGTTTCCTGCTAATGGAACATTCGCGCTTATAGCCTACTACCTTGTGCACATTGCTGTGCTTATAATGTGAAGAAATAGCCTAATAGTTTATCAACATTTTAAGCTAAACGTTCTGATCTGTTGCGTCAGCCACATTGCATAAAAAAGGTATTTTGATGCTAGTCGTTGAATTAATTTGTGATCTATCGCATCCCACAACTGTCCCAGACCATGTTTGGAATATTTATTTCTCGCACAGAATAGAATAGGTCGACTTTTGTACTATGGGGGATAGTAGATTGACATAGGCTAGTGCTTTTGCTGTTCGTTAGGCCTACTCATCTGGTTGGCTGACGAAAAGTAAATGTGGACAGTTCTTCCAATATCTTCAATATGCAGCGCGGAATTGGATAAGGACGCACACAGTTGCATCCCCGATGTGTCTGTCTTCACTTGTAGCCTGTGAGAAAGACCTGATCACGTGACGGAGAGCCATGTGAGTGAGAGGCGCTTCGGATTGCACAGCACACTAAGGGAGAAGGGCACAACGCTGCACTCTGGGCCGCAAAAGGCAAGGATGTTTTTAGGGTGCATTACGGCCACAAAAGGGATGCCGCCGTGACATTCGAGGCATTATCAAGTGCTTGTCAAATTGTGAATGTGAGACAATTGGAGTGTATACAGCCTGCGCAAAAAACTAAGCTGAGCTCATGCCTTTCAATCAACTTCTTTCAAATCAAATTAAAGTCTCATCATTCAGCCTTACAATGTATTAAAAATCCAAACATATAGCCCAACGTTTGTAGAACAACTAAAGTGACATTAATAACTCTAAATGAATCATATAGGAGTACCTATTTCTTTGTTAACCGCTCAACACAGAATAGCCGCATGTGCGCACTCCCTCAAATCGTTTGGAGAAAATTCATATTTTATTCAGCTTTGTTCAATTGTATTCTTCATACTATAAAATAACATAAAATAATTCCACGGAATTCTAAGCAAATCTGCTAAATGAACTAGTGTAGCCCACAGCCATTTGGCATAGCCACATCAGGACCTAACATAAGGACAACTCAGAGTATGCTATTTTGTTCTTCTGAAATAGATTACATTTTCTTCCTATCATGCTTCTTTAGACCTGTCTAAAATAAATAATGGCTTTATTGTGAAGGTGTAGGCTATATTACATGGATTTATTTGACTTTTTTAAAATGGCTTGTAGGCTATGTGTGGAAGCCAGGAGATGCTAAATGTGTTTATGGTAATTAAAGGTCAATTACCGTGAGACCGACAGTTATTTGCTTGACAATCACCGGCTGACGAAATTTCGTGACCGCCACAGCCCTATGTGTGTGAGAGCTGGGACGATAAACCAAAAATTTGCAACACCGACCATACCGATAATTTATTCCAGGCATTTTGCTGATATCTTTCAATACGATAAGTACCCTATGCTAGAGAAATGTGAAGTTGGAAAAGAAATAAGTTTGCTAATATCGGTGATTGTTAATGGGACAACCATCAAACTAGTGGTAGTAGTTTAAAGTAGGGGCGCAACTTTCATTGGGGACGGGGACATGTCCCCCCCACATTCTGAAATTGCATTTTCGTCCCCCCCAGTTTTATCATTGAAATGTGATACAAAATGAAGGAATGGTGTGCTTTAGGACCATGCAGACACCTCCGAGCGGTCACGTAGGCTGTTTGGAGTGTTTATCCGACTGGATATATATATATATTTTTAAGTGATGTCCCCCCCACTTCTAAAACCAAAGTTGCGCCCTTGGTTTAAAGGATAATAAAAAAAACTGTGGTGCACATTAATGTTATAAACGTATCATTCTATTTATCGTTATCGCATCAATTCAGGCAATTTATCTCGATATGGATTGTTGTCCATATCACCCAGCCCTAGTGTGTGTGTGTGTGTGTGTGTGTATGTATGCGTGTGTTTGTGCATGTGTGTGTGTGTGTGTGGGGGGGGGGGTCTCTGTCTGTCCATCTATTTGTCTGTTTGCCTATCTTGCTCTTCCTCTCTGTCTGTCTCTCCGTTGTCTGTCTCTCCATTTCTATACTCCCTTATCCCCTCTTCCCCTCCTCCCCCCCTCTCGGTCCATTGTGTAGTTGTGGTGGGCTGCTTCCCCTTTGGAGGTCATAGCCCTTCTTTACCCTACATGAAAGAGAATAATGGAGAGCGAGAGAGACACACCACCAACTATACTTACCTTGGTCTGACTAGAATTTAATCTGGGCGGTTTGACATGGCCATAACGTCTCTAACAGATAAAGCACACGGAGCATATTTTGCAAATAGAAAGACTCTAACCCACCAATTAGAATGTGGCTTATATTATTTGACTCTGTTATAACCCCAATCCTTCTAGGATCTTCTTCTTGCAGTGAAAAATGGGGCCCCCTTAACAATTTAAAATATACATCATGGGATAAAAGAACAGAAATGTCCCAAACCTAGCCTGTAGGGCACAACTTGGGAGATTGCCCCTAGCACTCAAAATTGAGAAAAAAAGACACCAAATTCTGGACTCACCTAACACACTGTGATCCAGAACATTATCATCATAAGGCTTTCTTATGCAAACACCACAACCTAGAGTGACCCTTTAGAGCAACTGGCCCAAAAGCGCTAGTTAAATTCAACCCTTCGACCACAAATAACAAAATTCAAACAAATAGAAATCTGTAACCAAAATACATACACTAATTATTGGCAAAACAAAATTCAATTTAATCACAAAATTCAATGTTACCAAATTCTAAATAGAGATATCAAAAACCTTGTCAAAATCAAAGAATTCAAACAAAGGAAGACATTACAATGTACAGACTCAGTGACCATAGCCTGGCAATAGAGAGAGGACACCATAGAAAGACAAGGCCTGTCATAATATAAGAGAGACAATAGCGCCCACCATGTCATACACATGAGCCCTTGTAGATTTCATTTCTCAATTGTTGATGTTTGTTGTCTATTTTGTGGATTATTATTCATGTATAATTGTTTTAGTTGATGTATATATTTTTATTGTTGCTCAAACATATTGTTCATTTATGTAATACATCATATATATTGCTTTGGCAACAGTGGCAACCACCCATTCATACCAATAAAACATGTATTGAATTGAATAAAGAGAGAGAGAGAAAGATGGAGAAGGGAGCTAAATATATTTCATGTTCACCAAAGTTGCCCCAGACCTGGAGAGCTCCTGGGTTTGCAGGCTTTTGCTCCAGCCCTACATAATCACATCTTATTCAGATAATCAAGGGCTTGAGGAACAGCTGATTTGTATAATTTGGTGTAGGGCCAGGATTCAATCCTATTGCCCATTGTTGACAATGCGCATTTAAAGGTAATGTTCCCGCATTCACGGAGATTACATTCACTTTCAACACTGCGGATGGTGGCTCAATCAGAAATTACCTTACCTTTAAAAGGTGCATTGTCGGCAGTGCTCCACAGATTGTATCCCAGCCTAAGTCTCTATGTGAGAGTCCAGGCAGTGTAGATAGGGACTGGGTGACCATGGTCAACCTGAGGAACTCATATAGGTGAAGTCTCTGTCCTCAACCCCCAACCCCACTCAGTGAAATGTGTGTGTGAGCCTGGGCTCCACTTTCCCTGGATCCCTCCCTTATCTCTCACCCCCCCTCACACACACACCACACAAACACACCCTGTCTGCCGCCAGTTGAGTCCCCCGCGGCCCGGCAGAAGCAAACAGATCGATACACCCGAGCTGGGCCGCATTAATATCTGTCGCTCCACCCCCGACCCCAGCACCCGCTCAACACCCCAGCACACACACATACGCAGAAACACACACACCCTCACACACTAAGAGGGGCATATACTCTACACACACACCAGCGGCGGAAATGGCCCCTGGCTCACGCAGGATCTGTCTATTTTAAAAGGGGGGAAGGAGGAGGTAGAGAGAGAGAGAGAGAGAGAGAGAGAGAGAGAGAGAGAGAGAGAGAGAGAGAAAGCAGGATGTATTCTCTCATTGGAGGCCCTGTCTACTGGCCTGGCCTGGCTGATAATGCTGGAGAGAAGCAGAGAGATAGATAGAGGGAGCAGAGAGAGATATAGAGAGAGACCAGGACTAAGCCTATAGCAGCGAGAGTTAGATATAGTCGATAGCTTTCCAAGTTTGGGCAGTTTCTGATCTTTTTTGAGAGAGATAGGATAAACGGGGGCAGAGAGAGGAGAGAAGAGATGAGAATAGGGAAGTTCTCCTATTATGGAATAAAGGCAAAGACTTCCCGTTGCCTGAGGTTTCGGTTTTCCATGATTGCTCTCTCTCTATTCATCTCCTTTTCTCTCTCTCCTTATCAATTCTCCATATCTGTTGCTCTCTCTCTATCCATCAGTGTGTGCGTGCGTGCGTCTCTGTTTTGAGAGTGTTTCCGATGGGTGTGTCTCTTCATTGCATGTGTGTGCTTATTTATGTGCAGGCCTGTGTGTTTGTTTCTAGAGTGTCAGGATTATGAACGGGAGGTGTCCATAGTGTTCTGCAGTTATATGGAGTGAACGTCTGTGTCCCAAATGGCATCCTATTCCCGGGCACTACTTTTGACCAGAGCGCCACATAGGGAATAGGGTGCCATTTGGGACACAGCCAATATGAGTGTGAATAGTGCTGAGAAGTCTACTTAGCAGGGTGTTTAGGAGGTACCAGCAGAGCTAAGCACGTATCCTCTACTTATATCACAAAAGCAAGCACTTTCCTATTCTACTGTTCCACTCCAGTTTGGGCTAAAGCTTAAATGCTCCCCATGCATTTAGATTGAAATGGGGAAAATATACTTTTAGAATGAGATATAAGCTGTAGGAAATGAAATGTATAGTGTATAGTATGTATAGTATTTCTTTTTCCCTTGAGTTGAACAAGTTATGTAGAGAATCACACAGTGGAACTAGTGGATACTAAACTCTCCCCCTCTATAGATCTGCTGCGGGTGCGCCAGGATGCCCTGGCAGCAGTGAGGAACACAGGGGGTATGGAAGCCCACCTCCCCTCAGCAGGCAGCTCGTCAAGCCAGAGACGCAAGCAGGGCCTGCCCCAGCACCGAGACGCCCATTATACCGAGAGGTAGGCCTGGCTAACGTACACAGGGATTCAGACACGCAGATAGATACAAACACACTGCAACCCAACGGTCTCCCTGGAAGCATCCCCACTGCCCTGCAAACACAGGGAAGTGGTGATGGAATATTCTCCAATACATTTATATTTTAGTCATTTAGCAGACGTTGTTATCCAGAGTGACGTACAGTAGAGTGTATACATTTGTTGTATTTTTCGTACTGGTCCCCCTGTGGGAATCGTACCCACAACCCTGGCGTTGCAAGCACCATGCACTTCCAACTGAGCCACACAGGACCACATAAAGCCTTCATCCTCTTCTTATACAGGTCCATACTGCACGTGTGTGTGTGTGTGTGTGTGTGTGTGTGTGTGTTGTGTGTGGTGTGTGTGTGTGTGTGTGTGTGTGTGTGTGTGTGTGTGTGTGTGTGTGTGTGTGTGTGTGTGTGTGTGTGTGTGTGTGTGTGTGTGTGTGTGTGTGTGTGTGTGTGTGTGTGTGTGTGTGTGTGTGTGTGTGTGTGTGTGTGTGTGTGCGCGCGCGCACCTCCCAAAGCCAGGGCAGCGGGAGTGGCCGGGTAATTGCTTGTCGATTATTTATGTGGCGCGGGGAGAGGCGGGCAATCGATAATGGGCCGGCGGGGCGGCAGCAGAGGGGCTGAGGGGAGGTGTGTGTGTTTGAAGGGGGTGTGGGTGGGGAGAGTTAAGCAGGAAGCGGAGCGGCCCAGGGAGGGAGTGTGTGTAGGTGGGAGGTGGGGGTTATGCGGGTTCTATTTCCAAGCCTGGCGTCCTATGTGTGTGTGTGTATTTGTGTATAGTGTGTGTGTGTGCATGCATATATGTGTGTATGTTGTATGCATATGTGTGTGTGTTTGTGAGTGCAAAGTATGTGTGTGCGTGCGTTTGCGTGTGTGTGTGTGAAGCCCAGCAGTGCATGTAGCTGTGGTCAGTGAGCCGCGGCGGTTCTCCGCCTGCATAGAGAGTAATTAGCCACACAGGACCAGGGGATGTTAACTAGCCCTGTGCACACTGCTCTACCGCCCTCCATACATCCATCCATTCATTCACCCTCAGCTCTCTCATCCCTCCAACAATCCCTCTCTCTTCCTTCCTCCCTCTCTCCCTTCCTCTCTGCCTCCCTCCCTCTCTATATCTTCCTTACTCCTCCATTTATCTTTAACTCTTTCTCTCGTACTAAATTCTAAAGGAATTTTGAGTAAAGAAAAGGAGGGTTAACGAAGAAAATGTGTTGGACTGCCCTTCTCTCACTGTGTGTGTGTGTGTGTGTGTGTGTGTGTGTGTGTCCAGGTCACATTTTCTCATTGACATTGTTAAAGGACAGGAGAAGTGTGGGCTGCCCTTGCCCCTCATAAAACACTGCCCACCAGGGTCAAAGAGAGCTGGAGAGAGAGAGGAGAGGGAGGGGGAGAGGTGGAGATAGGTGGAGAGAGGGAAAGAGAGAGAGAGGAGGGTGAGACGGAAGCCATTGCTCCAGGAAGCTCACCTTTCCATCGACCCCCCATCATTGATTATCTAAGGCCCATTAGGGCCTATTGTTAAAAACAAATCATTAGGTGGATCGATAGACTTAGAGCCTGGCTTTCCATTTGTCTGGCCTTAAATGGCAGATCACTTTTAGGGCTTCATCCCAAATGGCACCCTATTCCCTATATATAGCGCACTACCTTTGACCAGGGCCCTATATAGTGCACAAAAGTAATGCACTAAATAGGGAAAAGAGTGCCATTTGGGACTTAGACTCACTATCTGCAAGGCAAATCCAACTGTTTGGCATGGGAGCAGAAACAGGAGAGACAGAGGTCTGCCTAGGGAGAGGGACAGCAGAGAGAGATGGTGATACAGAAAGGTAGAGGGAGAGAGATGGTGATACAGAAAGGTAGAGAGATGGTGATACAGAAAGGTAGAGAGATGGTGATACAGTAAGGGTGAGAGATGGTGATACAGTAAGGTAGAGAGATGGTGATACAGAAAGGGAGAGAGATGGTGATACAGTAAGGGTGAGAGATGGTGATACAGAAAGGGTGAGAGATGGTGATACAGAAAGGATGAGAGATGGTGATACAGACAGGGAGAGAGATGGTGATACAGAAAGGGAGAGAGATGGTGATACAGTAAGGGAGAGAGATGGTGATACAGTAAGGGTGAGAGATGGTGATACAGAAAGGTAGAAGGAGAGAGATGGAGGAAAAGAAGAGAGCGATGAGTTTGAGGAAGATGAAGGGGAAAAGGGGAGGAGAAAAGGAGATAGGGATGGAGAGGAGAGATAAAAAAAATTAAAAAAATAAAGAGAAAGAAAGAATGATAGAAAGAGAAGGCGAGTTAGAGAAGGAGAGAGAAGGAGAAAGATAGGGAGAGAGTGAGATGGACAGCGAGAAAGAGAGAGAGGAGCAGGGAGAGAAATAGAGAGAAGGAGTGAGAGCGAGGAGTGAGATAAGCAGGGAGAGAAACAGAGAGAGAGGGAGCCACATCCATTTTAATGAGCTTCCTGTGTAAATGTGTTCCCGTCGAGTGAGAGCTGAAGGCGGCCACACGGAGCTCCTAATCCCCCCATGCTCCCGTCATTAAGGGCAGCCTTGTCACACACACACACACACACACACAATATGCAGCCATTTACTATTAAACACACCAATATGACCACAGGCACACACACACACACAATAATGTGCAATGCGCGTACACATGCACGCATGTACACACACACGTACACACATACACACACACACACTGCCCCGCTGTGGGAAGGGGCCGCTGTCGCCACTCTGACAGGTCGTCACACACGAGTGAATTCCCCAGGAGCCCATGGCCTCTCTGCAGGCGTGGAGAGAGAGAGAGAGAGAGAGAGAGAGAGAGAGAGAGAGAGAGAGAAATGGGAAGGGTTTGTGATGTTACTAGTGCTAGCTACAGAGAGACACACACACATTGAAGAGAGAGATTGCTCAAATGTAATATTGTGTTCTGTGACTGTGAAAGTGTTTGGAAGATGCTATATTATTGTGTTGTTAGATTCTTGTAAAAATATTATATATTGTTGATAAAATACTGAAAATATGTTTATGGTTATACACTGAGTGTACAAAACATTAGGAACACATAGATTGACCAGGTTAACGCTATGATCCCTTATTAATGTCACTTGTTAAATCCACTTCAATCAGTGTAGATGAAGGGGAGGAGACGGGTTAAAGAGGGATTTTTTAGCCTTGAGACAATTGAGACGTGGATTGTGTATGTGTGCTATTCAGAGGGTGAATGGGCACGACAATGATAAGTGCCTTTGAACAGGGTATGGTAGTAGGTGCCAGGCGCACCGGTTTGAGTATGTCAAGAACTGCAACGTTGCTGGGTTTTTTACGCTCAACAGTTTCCTGTGTGTATCAAGAATGGTCCACCACCCAAAGTACATTCAGCCAACTTGACACAACTGTGGGAAGCATTGGAGTCAACATGGGCCAGCATCCCTGTGGAACGCTTTCAACACCTTGTACAGTCCATGCCCCGATGAATGAAGGCTGTTCTGAGGTTAAAAGGGGGTGCAACTCAATATTAGGAAGGGATTACTAATGTTTTGTGTATGCGAGTTTGAAACAATAACCTACACACACAGGCAGACACGCATGCACACACACACACACACCACACACACAGGGCCCATGCAAGGAGCACACCGGTTAATAGCTGCCTCCTTCTCCCCAAATTGCTTCCTATAAAAGGAGAGAGAGCACGTCTGGCTCCCCCTCTCTCTCTCTCCCTCACTCTCTCCCCCACCCTTTTCCCTCAGTCTCTCCCTTGCTCCTTTCCCCCATGATTAGGCCTAATTATGGTGCAGCGGACGCCTGGCGGCCTCAGTCATGCAGCTTTAATTGACCGTTATTCATCTCCGGGCTAGCACTAACGCTAGGCTAGGCGGCAAGGGGGAGGAGGTGAAATGAATGGGGGTTTGGCATGCAGGGGTCCTAGCCTAGCGTAGCTGTTCGCGGCCCAGGCTAATTGCTAGCCCCGAGGGATTAGGCCAGGTGATTACACACTGGGCGGTGTAATTACATAAGCAGCAGCGGGCCCAGGCTAGCGAGCCCCGGGGTCACGCGGCCCCGGCCCTTCCCCAAGATTAATTGGAGCTGCCATCGGAGTGCGAGGCTCCGCCAGAGAGAGCGGTTATACGATTAGCATTAACATTTCAGCGGCGGGCCTGCGATCGATGAATGGTCCCACCCTTGTTGTTGGCTCGGTGTGTGAACCCCCCTCGCTGTTCCTCTTTCTCTCTCTCTTTCTCCATCTCCCCCGTATCTCTCCCTCCCTCTCTCTCTCTCGCCGCTGTATGTGTAAGGGCAGAGACATGCAGGCGCAAGTTGATTTTCATCACAACCGTTCCAAAACAATAGCTGTCGTCCCATTCAAATGTGGGTATTTTTTGGTTGTATTCACCACCATGATGTCCTTATGTGTACTGCATATCAGTCACATCTCCAAAGCAGCAAACTGATGACATTTGGCCCGATTGCACATGATTGAGTGTGTGCGTGTCCATGCGTGTGTTCGTGTGTGTGCGTGTGCAGGAAAAGGCCAAATGGTTTCGCGGGAGACAGATCGACCAAATCAACAGATCACCACACACTCCCAGTACACTGTGACACTTCCACATTCTCCCTGAAACACATCAAGCTGAAGAACATATTCTTATTTCTCCCCTCTTCCTTCCTTCCATCCACCAACACCTCTTTTCCTCCTACCTCAAATTCCCCCGTTTCCCCTGTTCATTTGGGACAAGAGGCAGACCAAGGAGTACAACAGAGAGAAGGAGAGAGAGGGACAGAAAGAAAGAGAGAGAGGAGCTTTTCTTTGCTCAGAAAGAGGACAAAAGGAGAAGTACATAATAGAGCGGCCTTTTCATAAATAGGGTTTGCAGGACACGGCCGCCTTTTCACTGGCTCAATACGGCCCGGAGTCGTAGAGAGGCAGAAGGGGCGGAAAAAAAGGACCGAAGGGAGGAGGATGAGTGTTAATTAGAAGGTCCTTCAGCCCGTGGCCCCAGTCGAGACGCGGGGGCCGCCCCAGCTGTCGGAACATGACACACTCCTATTGTGTATTCAGCCCTCATTATGTAAGTGTGGGTGTGGGTGTGTTTGTGTGCGAGTGTGTGTGTATGTGGGAGTATGCGTGTGTGTGGTTGAGTAGGAGGGGAACGGAGGGAGGCTAAAGCTCAGGGTACAAACATGGCCAGCGGCGGTCTTTGCGGCGTGGCAAGACTGACGAGGTGGCTATGGCGACACTGGAGCCTCCAGTGCCTGTAGTTATAAATAAACCGGGAGGAGAGCGTGTAGCTAGCCAGGGCTCAGTTACCAAAATACACCACAAACCTGGTCCTGGAGACCCACTATAGATACAGGCTTTCACCTCAAACCATCATCCTCACTGCTATACACTATATAGTACTGTTACGAAACCAACTAGATAGTGATTAAGTCTACTCACCCTATGTCTAGAGGTTCTAGGCCTCACTAACTGTTCCATAACCTGTCTGAATGTATGCATTTAATGTGAAAGTAAGAGCTTAATATTCCAGTGAAAAAATCTGGTTGAGAGTCCATGTCAGTTATGGTCCCATTTGTTTAATTGTTTGAGTGTAGCTTTTACTGTTTATTTCTGTTGGTTTAACACCATAACTGCCATAGGCCAACAACCACTGATGTTTGACATTGCTCAGTTGTCTGAATGTTTTAATCACAAACAGAAAAGTATTTTACCTGTTTACCAGTATTTCCCCCACACCAATTACTACCTTAAAGGCCCAGTGCAGTCAAAAACGTTTATATATATATTTTCAGTTCTGCCCACACATTTTATATAAGATTGAGGTCAGGGCTTTGTGATGGCCACTCCAATACCTTCAATTTGTTGTCCTTAAGCCATTTTGCCACAACTTTGGAAGTATGCTTGGGGTCATTATCTATTTGGAAGAACCATTTGCGACCAAGCTTTAACTTCCTGACTGATGTCTTGAGATGTTGCTTGAATATATACACATAATTTTCCTTCCTCAAGATGCCATCTATTTTATGAAGTGCACCAGTCCCTCCTGCAGCAAAGCACCCCCACAGCATGATGCTGCCACCCACGTGCTTCACATTTGGGATGGTGTTCTTAGGCTTGCAAGCCTTCCCACTTTTTCATCCAAACATAACGATGGTCATTATGGCCAAATAGTTATATTTTTGTTTCATCAGAACAGAGGATATTTCTCCAAAAAGTACAATCTTTGACCCCATGTGCAGTTGCAAACCATAGTCTGGCTTTTTTATGGCGGTTTTGGAGCAGTGGCTTCTTGCTTGCTGAAGTGGATATGCTAATGTGGATATAGATACTTTTGTACCTGTTTCCTCCAGCACCTTCACAAGGTCCTTTGCTGTTGTTCTGGGATTGATTTGCACTTTCCGCACCAAAGTACGTTCATCTCTAGGAGACAGAACGCGTCTCCTTCCTGAGCGGTATGACGGCTGCGTGGTCCCATGATGTTTATACTTGCGTACTATTGTTTGTACAGATGAACTTGGTACCTTCAGGCGATTGGAAATTGCTCCCAAGGATGAACCAGACTTGTGGAGGTCAACAACAAAAAAATCTGAGGTCTTGGCTGATTTCTTTTGATTTTCCTATGATATCAAGCAAAGAGGCACTGAGTTTGAAGGTAGGCCTTGAAATACATCCACAGGTACACCTCCAATTGACTCAAATGATGTCAATTAGCCTATCAGAAGCTTCTAAAGCCATGACATCATTTTCTGGAATTTTCCAAGCTGTTTAAAGGCACAGTCAACTTAGTGTATGTCAACTTCTGACCCACTGGAATTGTGATACAGTGAATTATAAATGAAATAATCTGTCTATAAACAATTGTTGGAAAAATTACTTGTGTCATGCACAAAGTAGATGTCCTAACAAACTTGCCAAAACTATAGTTTGTTAACACAAAATTTGTGGAGTGGTTGAAAAACTAGTTTTTATGACTCCAACCTAAGTGTATGTAAACCTCCGACTTTCCGCAAATATTTCTTTATGCAATTAATTCTTAAATTTTTGTTATGCACCATTTATCATTGCCTGGCTACCCATCCACATCGCTCCAGCCAACTGATGTCTCTTCTCCACGATGAGTCTGGATTTGCCTCCCTCCCCAACAATTTCTAGAATGTGAACACATTCTGATCATTCTGATTGGTGCCAGAAACTGATGGGTTGGGCCAGAGCCGGCCTACATGATGACGTTATCAACTTTGATACTCTGATTAGTTAGATTTGTTAGAGACGATCCAATCGCTGAGGAATTTGTTTTGTACAACGTGCCTCATTTTGAATTCAAGCAAACAACTTCTAGGATGGAAGTTTTAGAATGAATGTATATAGCGATCGATAGAGCAGTGAGTTGTCAGGCTTTGGCACTCATGTTTACGGCAAATAATTTGACTGTTTTACTTACTATAATTCTATTACTATTTTAATTTACAAATAAAACTGATCAAATTGTTGCGTTTTTTATTGTAAGGGAAACTAAAATATGCTATGTGTTGCACTATGCCATTGTAGAATAATAAATGCATTTTATGTACGTCAAAATATACAATTATTTAAAAGAAACAAAATATTCTTAAGACATGACTACATTCAATAAAAAAACATTTTTGATGGTCTTTATTTAGGTTGATAAAAACAAAGTTGATTAATCTGATGCATATGCTAAAGTGGGCACCCGACAGCGTTCTCTAGCAGCTACTTAGGCTGAAAGGGTTAGCGGTTCTAGTGTTAAATGTGGTGTGTTTTTGTTTGTGTGTGTCTACAGGGAAATGTCCCATCCCCCACCTCTGCTGTCCCCCCAGAACGCCTCTCACATCGCGTTGGGACCCCACCTGCGGCCACCCTTCCTGGGCATGCCCTCTACCCTGTGCCAGGCCCCAAGTAAGTCAGATGCGAATGCTAGCAGGTTATCTACAGAAATTAATATAGCGCCTACACTTATTAATGGTGAGTTAGGGCTGGATTCAATCCGTACGTGGAGCTTCTGCGATACAGATTGAATAGATGCTAATAAAAATCAGAAACGATTGGCCTATGGTAGACACTTACAACAGCATTCGCTGCATTCCCACAAAAATTGGGAAATGGGAAAATGTTCAATGGAATTCATGTCTTTTGTGTCTTTTGACTGTCTTGATAGAGACTTTCATCATCTAAAGAATGTATTTGTATCTGATTCTTTGTGAGGCATTAATATTAAACAGGGGGTCTATGTCATTGTATTTTAATACCCCATGTATATTGTATGTCAGAAATCTCTTAATGAGTGTGTGTGCTCATCTGTGTGTTTTTTATGCATTTCCCTCAGGCTATGGTTTCCTCCAGCCTGCCCAAGCTGAGATGTTTGCCCGGCAACAGGAGATGCTTCGGAAGCAGAACCTGGCCAGGTTTGTCATTGTCTTCTAGTGCTGTTGTGTGTGTGTGTGTGTTTGATGTCAAGGCTGTAGCTTAATGTGTGTGTCTATGTATTTAAATTATGTTTTCGTATGTGTGATAACATTGTCTCTAACCTCTCTCCTCTATGTCCGGTCCCAGGTTGGAGATGTCAGCAGAGTTGCTCAGACACAAGGAGCTGGAGAGTCTCCATAGGCAGCAGCGTGTGCTGGGGAACTCCGACCCCCTGGGCCTAGCCCACGGCCTCCCCCTGGACCACCCTGCCCTGCGCAGCCTCCACCACCTGCCCGAGGGACATCCCATCCACGAGGAACTCAGCCGACGCCAAAACGCCATGCTGGTGCTCCGACACACCAACACCCCCCTGCTCTCCCTCAACCATCATGGGCCCTCGGGGGACACAACGCCCAAAAACACCCAGGGACAAAGCTCCGGGGCTCAGGCTGGATCGAGGAAGGGAGGCTCCCGGAAAGGCCCACAGCAACCCAGAGGGGGAGAGCACCAAGAAAGGGAATGCCGAGGGAGGGAGGGAGACGCGGACGGTCACAATGATGAGATGAAGGACTCGGACAGCGAGACGGAGATGGGCGAGGATAGGCACCAGGGCTTGGGTGGCAAGGCCAACGAGGGGCATGGGCTTCACAGGGACAGGGGGAAAGAGAGTAGCAGGAAGGGGGGGTGTGACGGTGCCAAGGAGGCGGGCGAGGGCTCGGGTCGGCTCAGTGCCCCCTGTAGCTCGGCGGATGCAGATTCACCACCTAGCCACCACCTCTTCACCCCAGGGCTGAGCAAGAGCGATGTTAAGTACCACTTTCCACCTAGCGCCATGCCCCCTCTGCAAGGACTCCACGGCCAGTCTCTGCCCTTTGGATTCCCCTACACCAGCCCCTACTTTCACACCGGTGAGTAACACACACACACACACACACACACACACACACACACACACACACACACCAATCAACTGCATCACACTTAAATGTCACTCTGATTGAAACCTGTGAATGTTATTTGGCTAGCCATGCAACCAGCCTTAATGGGAGATAGCATGCTAGCTAACAACGGCTGCATTCGAGAGAAGTGGTATGCAACGATAACAGCTAAATACAATCTCAGTGATTGTTCAAACAACAGACCAAATAACAGCAGATTTTTTTTTATATACATTTGTTCAGAAGTAATCACTATCCAGTAAATGTAGGCTATTTTGCTTTCCCCAATTGGTTGGTGTGGTTTGTAAATTTCTCTGGCCTTGTATGATTGATAGATCCTGGTTCATCATTAGCTTCAGTCACATTGAGTTACTGTCTAGAGTTAGATTCAATGCATTGCTGGCATTCCTCTGCTCTCTGTGGTGATATACAATATTTGGCAGAAAATTCAGCAGGTTGGTGTTTATTGTCATAAGTCTTGTCCTGGAGGCAGAACTGAGCAATTTCCCCTTAGATAGGCCAGCTGCAAAGTCAGAATTGGCTATATTGTACAAATTCATGTTTTATTTTATTTATTTAAGGTTAGGGTTATGCATTAGGGTTGGCGGTGAGGTTAGGGTTAAGTTTAGGGTTATGTTTAAAATCTAACCTGGGAATATTCACATTGTAAATAGAGAAAGGGGAATCTCATTATGTAATATTGTTGTGGCGCTATGAAGGCAGGAGTGCATCCCCCCCCGCCCCCACCCCAAAAAAAAAAAAAACAACAAAAAAAAACATTGTAAAGTGGTTATCCCACTGGCTATAAGGTGAATGCACATATTTGTAAGTCGCTCTGGATAAGAGCATCTGCTAAATGACGTAAATGTAAATGTAAATGAGTGCGTTCAATTGGGTTCAACGTTTGCCATGTTGCATGACGGTTTGTATTGAACGACACATTTCCCCAAAACGGTGCGTTCTTCAAAGGCCTCTGAGGTATGTTTGTTCCCGTCTGGTGGGTGTGGCCTGATCAATATGGGTGTGACCATTTCAAATCTCAAAACTCGTGCAGCACACCATACACAATCTTCCCCTGGGCCACCATAATCACGTTCTTCTTCAACTGGTCGTTCAGTACAGTACCGTTTCTGTTTAATTAAACGTTGAACACCGTTCTGTCGTACTGAACACACCCCAGGACTCATGGGTAGGGCCATGTGTTTTGGTGCACTTTTTGAGGCACTTTGCTTTTACCGGTATTTCCATCGTTATCCACTATTGTTACAGCAAGTAGAAAATCTTAGGACATTTTCTTTGATTGACACAAGCTGTCTCCAATCAATCAATCAATCAATGCCTGGTTGTGCGTGTTTGGCGGGTGGATGGCCTTAGCCAGGGGAGGCATAGCTCTGCGAATCTTAATCGCACAAAATCTATTATTTGGCAGGGAATACTACTTGTAGATCAGTGATTCTGCACCTCCCTTTGCTCAATCTGATCCTCTCCAACGGAGTCAGAAGTTGTAGCTAAAAATGGGTCAACCAGGTAGTAAGGGTAGGTAACAACACATCCGCCACGCTGATCCTCAACACGGGGGCCCCTCAGGGGTGCGTGCTCAGTCCCCTCATGTACTCCCTGTTCACTTATGACTGCATGTCCAGGCACGACTCCAACACCCTCATTAAGTTTGCCGGTGACACAACAGTGGTAGGCCTGATCACCGACAACGACGATACAGCCTATAGGGAGTAGGTCAGAGACCTGGCCGTGTGGTGCCAGGACAACAACCTCTCCCTCAACATGATCAAGACAAAGGAGATGATTGTGGACTACAGGAAAAAGAAGAGGACCGAGCACGCCCCCATTCTCATCGACGGGGCTGTGGTGGAGCAGGTTGAGAGCTTCAAGTTCCTTGGTGTCCACATCACCAACAAACTGACATGGTCCAAGCACACCAACATTTACATTTACATTTACGTCATTTAGCAGACGCTCTTATCCAGAGCGACTTACAGAAGACAGTCGACAAAACCTATTCCCCCTAAGGAGACTGAAAAGATTTGGCATGGGTCCTCAGATCCTCAAAAGGTTCTACAGCTGCATCATCGAGAGCATCCTGACTGGTTGCATCACTGCCTGGTATGGCAACAGCTCGGCCTCCGACCTCAAGGAACTACAGAGGGTAGTGCGTACGGCCCAGTACTTCACTGGGGCCAAGCTTCCTGCCATCCAGGACCTCTATACCAGGCGATGTTAGAGGAAGGCCCTAAAAAGTGTCAAAGACTCCAGCCACCCTAGTCATAGACTCAACTCTCTGCTACCGCACGGCAAGCGGTACCGGAGCGCCAAGTCTAGGTCCAAGAGGCTTCTAAACAGCTTCTACCCCCAAGCCATAAGACTCTGAACATCTAATCAAATGGCTACCCAGTCTCTCGGATGGCCTTAGGCACCATCCCATTTCTGACACTAGTGTAGCAAATTCAGGGGGTAGCCCTGAACGGGACTCGAATCCGAATCCAGTGAATGTCAAGCCAACGCCTTAACCGTTACGCCAAGAGGTTTCGGACCCCAAATTCGCTGAAATATACTGTAGTTCCATGGTTGGTTTCATTGACTCTCCGGAGGACATTTGAATTCACCCTAGCTTAAACTCGCAAATACACACAGAATCGAACCTTCACATTAGAGCAACTCTGTTTGGGTTAATTAGAAACCTGGTTTTAGTTGTCTGTGTCTAATGACTGTCATTAAATAGAGAGATTTGAATGTTTGAAAACACAGACAGAAACTGCATAGGGAAGCAGAGGCAAAACAGGCAGTTTCACAGTAGGAGCCAACACACACGCACCTACGTACCTAGACACACACACACACACACACACACACACTCACCCTTGGGCAGGCATATGAAAGACATTAGCAGTACTCTCTCTGTGTCTCCAGCGTGGAGACCTCCCCCTGGAAGGGGCCCTGCCACTGACCACCCCTGACCCCTCTACACACAGGGTTATCACCACAACCATGCGGAAGAAGAGTTGAAGGGGTGGGGGTGGTGGGATGGAGAGGGAGAGGAGAGAAAATAAAAAAGAGAGAGGGGGAAGTTAGGCACAACAGTGAGAATTAGAAAACATGGATCAAATACACTTTGAAACGTGATATGAAATATTCTTAAATGCAAACATTTTTAAATGCAATTAAATATCATGTCCATGTCCATTTTATTTATTTCAGAACAACCATGAGGACAAAACAATAGTCAGAGAGCAAAAGTGTGTGTGGGAAAGAGAATAGCGAGATTTGGATAACGAGATTGAGAAGTAATTAAACTGAGAAATGTGTGTATGCTAGCTGCTGGTCGAGGTCTGTCCTGGGTCGTATTCATCAGGCACCAAATGGAATAAAACGGACTGAAACAGGGAGAGAATGACCTGAACATGCCCATTAAGAAACACTCATTTTCGTCCACTGTAAAACATTTTTGCACCTTAAATGAATATGACTTGGTGATTTACAACCCCCTTCTACCCTCTCATAGGCGGTATGGGAGGTATGTTCATGGACGGCGAGGACTCAGCGGTGCCCCCAGTGGAGGACATCAGAAAGTGGTGTGTGGAGGAGGTGTGTGGCTTCGTGGGCAGCCTGGCCGGCTGTGCCGAGTACACCCAGGTAAGGACCAGAGCAGGAGGGCAGGGGTCTGGTTTATCCCACCCTTTCAACCAGAGAGAGAGAGAGAGGGAGAGAGGGAACAGGGTCGGGCTGGTGGAAGAGCAGTGTAGGGCTTTGGGACCAGAGTATCTAACATTGTCACCTCAATCAGAAGTTCTACTATTAGTATAGTAGAGTTGGTTTCTAGTAGATTCTATAGTTATAAGACCACTGTTATCTCTCACAGCACCACAGTCCCCTTAATGTTAAACACACACACACACTGTTGGAAGATTGAGAGTGGTGTGAGTATGCATGCAAGCTCTGTGTGAGGGTGTATGCATGAGTTTGTGCGTGTGTATGAGTGTGTGTGTGTGTGTGTGTGTCTCGGCTCTGGCTGAAGTGGCTGTGTCTCTCCTGAAGGTGTTTCGGGAGCAGGCCATCGACGGAGAGACCCTCCCGCTGCTCACGGAGGAGCACCTGCTCAACATCATGGGACTGAAGCTGGGCCCCGCGCTCAAGATACGCTCTCAGGTACACACCACTGACTGGCCACACACTCAGGACCATCACCTCAGGAGTGTGTGTGCGCAGCCTCAAAGTTGGTATTTTTTTGTATGAGTAGACTGTTCTTGTGTAAGTAAACCTCAAGTGTGTGTGTTTGTGTGAGTGTGTTTGTGAGTGCTGGAAGCTAGTAGTGCATTGTAGTTAGCCAAAGCAGATAGATAGCGTAGCGCCTAAACGTGAGGCCCGTTGTCGGTGCACAGGTTGTCAGGTATGCCATACTGTAGCCCTTAACCCTCTCCTCTCTCTCAGGCTGGTGATACAGTAGAACACTAGGACATGGGCTACGTCCCAAATGTCACCCTATTCCCTACATAGTTCACTACTTTTGACCAGGACCCATAGGGCTCTGGTCATAAGTACTGCACCATATAGGAAATAGGGTGCCATTTCGGACGTAGCCTGTGGGCTGAGCAGCTCTAACCTCGGCGTGTGGCGTTCTCTCTCTCTCTCCTCAGGTGGCACGGCGTGTTGGCAGAATCTTCTACATGACCAGCTTCCCGCTGGCGCTCCCGCTGCCGCCATCTGCCTTGCGCCCCCCGGACAGGGACCCCCTGCCGTCCGACACCCCCCTGGCGCTCCCACTGCGGCCCCTCTCCGCCGCAAGCAGCAGCTCCTCCCCCTACAGCGGCCCCCCACCCCCCTGTCACTCCTCCCCCAAGCAAGAGAATGCCAACGGCTCTGTGTCGGGGGGCTACGAGGGGGTCTAGGACCCAACTGGCTGCACAGGGAACCTGGACTGGAGGGAGGGAGGGAGGGAGATGGGTACAGAGAAACCTCTTGTAACAGACATTGAATTGACCCCCTTCCTCCCCCTTTCGGCATACATCTCCATTTGGGTTTGGGGAATAAACTGTAAAAAATATAAAAGCGAACAAAATATAAATGAGCTAAAGGGACTAATCAAAGAAGCCCAATCAACTTCAAGTTCCACTGTGGTTGTAGCCGAGCAAAATCCAAAGATGTAACAGTGGGCTGGAGGGAGAGACGTGATGAAGCGACAGAGGGAGAGAGAGAGCGAGAGAGAGAGCAGACAGCTGGTCTCAGACAGCTTGCCAAAAAAAGAGCAAAGCCCCAGAACTACGACATTCTTCTGAGTCAGACAGACGCTACCGGAAACTCGTCCTTCCTGGGCTGAAGAAGGAAGCCCCTCTCTCCCTCTGTCTGCTCCCCAACACACTCGGTACACCCAGCACTTAAAAGAGAGACGCCTCTTCCCTCTTGCTCTTTTACTCCCCTCTTTTCTTCTCACTCCCAGTCTAAGGAGCCCAAACAGCTCAGATGAACTGAGAATTATGGAGACTGGAGTGAAAGCATACACTGAAAGGGACTCCAAAATACCTTCATTATTGCAACTATGCATTCAACAGTCCAAAACCAAAGATGACCGGATGTGTGAAATAAGGGATGATATTCCATGTTGTTTTTTCTGGGTCATTTTTTTTTGCTTTGTGGGCAAAATGGCTAGTCTTAGGGAGAGGTGTGGTACATAAAGGATCCCATTGGGCCTAGTACCTCATATGACTGTCTTTAAGAGACAAGTGGGACTCCTTGTAAGGTGAAACAAGGGGGAATCTTTATATAAGGTGTCCTAGGTACATGCCACAGTTGTGCCCATAAGCCATCGGCCTATAGCCGGAGTTCTTTCTGACACGCTCTGATAAAAAGAGTAAAATGTTACTGATACGGGACGGTGACTTCAGCTCATAGGGCTAATGTTATTGTATAATCGTGTTAACTACTGTTGGAGATGCAAACATGCCGAATTGTACAGAATCATGCTTAAGATGAAAATTTCCTGAAGGTTACATACATGGTACTTAATCTTTTTTTTAATTAAATGTAGTTGCACGAAAAATGTTTTCTTTATGAGTGAACAAAATGTGACTTGCTAACTTTTGGTGGTACTTTTCTTCCAAACTTTTTTCTTTGCAGTTTTTTTTCTTCAAATGTTTTATATTAAAAGAAGCCCCAATCTTAAACGCTACTTCAGCAATATAAATTAGGAAATAATATTGATAGGACTTTTGATGTAGTTAGATGAACCGATATGTATAATACTTAGTCCTCACAATGGATCCCAAAGAACATTGACTTTGTTTTCCCTTGGTTGCAGGGAAAAGGAACAAAGCTCTTAATGCAAATCTTAGAATTTGTTAAAGATTTTTTTTAAACTATGTGTAAGCAATGAATTAAAATGGTCTAGATTTCCCATCAGTTTTGTCTTGATCCTATTTTTCTATTCGCCACTTGGTGAAATTAATCCTACAGAAACTCTCAGCTGCTATAATCCTCACTTATCAGTAAATACCTTTTGTAGTGTTTTCTCTGACTGCTGGATGGTGTGTGCGTTGTCTCCTCTGCCATCAAGTGTGTGCTTGCTTTGCATTGCTGGAGCAGTGTGAGTCTGATAGTATCCGATCCCCTGCTTTTCCCTGTGTGTGTGCGCTTCCCTGTCGTTGTGTGTGTGTAGGGGAGTGGACTCCTGGGGCATGGTTCGGGTCAACACCAGCTGTCAGTGTGAGGTTCAGCCGCAGGACAAGGCCTCCCTGCCTGTGGGGATAAACCTGAACCTTCCGCCTACATACATACACACAAAGAGAAGTTCACACGCGAGTGCACACACCCACCTTTAGCCTTTAAAAGAAAACAGAGTTTCCACTGAAGCTGTCAAACACATCGATCCCCTATGGGCCACTCCTGGGCTTTCATTGGCTTGGTCTTCAGCTCTACTCAACTAGTTGCCATCATGTACAAGTACTGAACGCACACACCCTTTAAAAAGGTCTTAAAAGATAACACCGCAAAGAGATTAACTCTTTAGTCAAGGAGTTCGGAGCATCAATTCTTTCTTGCTGCTAGGCGGAATGTCGGCCATATTGCTCATACCTATCCAGTCCAAGTGCCTAGCGATTGTTTCTGGATGGGGCTCTCAGTTCTGTTCCAACATTCCCAATGAAGAAGAGAGAGGGGAAAGAGGGAATGAGTGGAAAGGGGGGGGGGAGGGTGTTGGTTGGCAGGGAAACAGACCAGTCTGTGTTTCTGCTTCACCGCCTGGGCAGAGAAGACTGGCATACTGAAGCCCTCTCTCTGTCCCCCTACCCAGTACCGCCTGATCCAGCCAACCATAGGATAGTGTAGTCAAGACCTTTCTTCTAAAAAATGTCAGTTGCTAAAACACAGGTGCTCATGTATGCAATTATTGGCTACAACCCACCACACCACATAATCCTGTACATTGAAATAAGAAAGCATTGCATCAGTAGGGTATTTCGCACAGAAACCAACAAAGTAGTCTAGGAAGTATTTAATATTTTGTCAAATTGCACGGCCAGGTTGTAATGTACAATTACATTAAGAACATGTTTGTGCTGTACACATTGAAGGAGCAAACTAAAACAAAATAAGTCAAATAAAATAAATGTAGAAAAGAGTCCAACAGGAAGGCAGTAATGATTAAATGTACGGAGAGATGGGGAGGAGCTTCAATCCAACGCTCTACTCCTCTCCACCCCCAACCATGTGTTAGTGTGTGTGTGTGTGTGTGTGTGTCTAAATGTGTGTGTCTCTAGTCCTGGTCAGACAGCTCCAGGTCTTCCACCAAGTCCTCATCTCCCTCTGCCAACTCTTTCAGAGCCACGCTGGACAGCTGCATGGGCGCCTTGGAGGCTTTAACCCCGTCTTCATCATCATCCTCATCATTACCACCATCTATTGAGGAAGGAAGATCATGAAGGAGGGATTCATTTGAAGGGGCAATCTGGGATTCAAACAACAAAGCCAAAGTCCAAAAAAGGATGTACCAATCCCTGATTGCCCCTTTAAGTGGGAGTGAAAAATGTCTGGACTACAGCAAGTTTCAATTATTTTTGTTCTTTATACTGATGTTATACGTGTCTTTTTTAAATGAGTAGAAAACAATCACTCTACAATACTTCCCCAAGTAAATAATGAGTGCTAATATCAGGCAGCAATGGATGTAAAATGCAGAAATGTGATGGTGGGTATTTGTGCCCACAATGGGTTTGATTTCAGTGGAGAATATGGCAGGTTTCCTTATAAAAGACTAGATAGAAGTAAACAATATGTTGGAAGCTGCCCTGCGATCAATTTGAAGGCTAGGTGGAGCATCACCATTTTGCTTACACCCATCATATTCCCTACAGATCTGCCAAATCAAAAGTGGTATGAGGCTAGGGGTCATTTCTGGACCGGCACTGTATGTCTTGACCCTTTTCACACTAGTGTGCCGGCCCAAACCGTACTGTGCTGGCTTGTATCGTACGGTGCTAGTTTCTTTTCAGCTTGTCCTTTCTAGTACGGTTCCAGCAACTACAGTGAATGCATAACCAGGCCAGCGGTGTAGAACTTGGCTTAGCATGCCTCAGTAGTGTGAAAAGTGCATATTTGTCCCGTACTGTAAGAGAGAAGCCAGTGCACAAACCTGAGGCACCATCTTGGTCTTCCTCCACCCCCTCATCATTGCTCAGGTCAGACAGCTCTTGAAGAAGATCATCATCATCATCATCATCGTCGTCGTCAGAGCCCCCCTTTTTGTCTGGCAAGAGGAAGGAGAGATATGATTTTAAGAAACAGTAAAAATGGAATATACTCATTAGCTTGGACTTGGCTTTACTGATGGGAGTCAGATACAAAACAAATTAAAGATAGGTTTAATGTTATACACTTATAATGTACACTTTGAACACTTCAGGGCCTGTATTCATAGTGTCTCGGAGTAGGAGTGCTGATCTAGAATCCGTTTTCATATTGGATCATAATGAATACATTTAAATGAACAGAGGGGACCTGATCCTAGATCAGCTCTCTTATTCTGATACTTTTTATGAATATGAGCCCAGAAGTGTGTTCATGCAGGTAGGTAGGTAGCATCTAACCACCTTATGGTGATGGAGCTGAGAAGACAGAGCCCCGACACAAAATACTCATGACAGTTTACCACAGCTAATATCACACATCTTACACCCCCTCGCTGCCTAAATATAGCAAATAGCCTAGAGATAGCAGGCAGGCATCACTTCAGACAGATATAAGTTCCTCTTAAATATGTATGTTGTACTTTAATATGTGTGTGTATGTTATGCTTTTAATGAGTGTGTGTGTGTGTGTGTGTTGATGTGTGTGTGTGTGTGTGTGTTGATGTGTGTGTGTGTGTGTGTTGATGTGTGTGTGTGCGTGTGTGTTGATGTGTGTGCGTGTGTGTGTGTTGATGTGTGTGTGTGTGTGTTGATGTGTGTGTGTGTGTGTTGATGTGTGTGTGTGTGTTGATGTGTGTGTGTGTTGATGTGTGTGTTGATGTGTGTGTGTGTGTGTGTGTGTGTGTTGATGTGGAGGCTTCTGTCACCCATGATGGAACATCTCATCCTATATCCAGGACAACACTCTTTTGTATCAGACAAATGCTGCTACTGCAACACTGGACTAGCCTGAAGCTGCAGGAGAAACTCGCTGCTCTGGACTGTGCTGTCCACTCTGCCTCCCATTCCATGTACCAGAATGCTGCCGTTTGAGAGGACATTCTCACCTTTACTGTTAAGGCGAGGCTGCAAGTTCTATCAACAAAATATAATCTAGTACTCTGGTACCCTGCAAACCATGATCCATTTTGTATTCTACATGAGTCAAATGTAATGGAGTCCATTGCCCATGTTGTGAATGGCTGCTGTTCATACAAGGATTTGTACATTGCTAGACATGACCGCCTTGTTGACCTGATAGCCAACGAGGCGAGACAAGTAGTCTCACCAACAATACATATGCATAAACATTCCTGTGTAAGGGGAAGCTGGTTTGATGTTGATGATGATGTGTTTTCCTGTGTGCCAAATACGGCAGATATTGTTGTTGTGGGGGGAGGCGCTAATTTGGGAAGTGGGCTGCTCATTTGACGGCTACATGGAGCAGGCCTTCGCCGAGAAGCTGCTTAAATACCAGGCCCTCGTGGCATGCTTGGACAGCCTCGGGTGTAGGTGCAAGCTGGTGGCGCTGATATTTGGCAGTCTCGGCCACGTACACAGGCTTGCAGTGCGTGGCCTCCAGATTGCAGGCCTGACAAAAACTAGGGCAAAGCAATTGGCTAGGTACTGCTCTGTTTCAGCTGTCGTGGGCAGCCTAGCTGTTTGGAGAATGAGGTGCTTTCTGTACCCTTGAGTGCCATGCATACAGGGACCTTTGAAATGTTTGGATTCTTTTTTTGTAAATTTGGTGGATTCAAATAAAGTATTTAATGTGTGTGTGTGTGTGTGTGTGTGTGTGTGTGTGTAGCAGAGGCCACTGCAGAGTGGTCCCTGGATTTTGAAGTGGAGTTTGATGAGATGCTGGAGGCCAGGAGAGGACAGGACTGGTGGCCAGGAGAGGACACGGCTGGTGGCCAGGAGAGGACAGGGCTGGTGGCCAGGAGAGGACAGGGCTGGTGGCCAGGAGAGGACAGGACTGGTGTCCAGGAGAGGACACTTCCTTGCTCAACCATTTCTTCCCATGCTCCTCTTCTCCCCTTATTACCTTGACTCCCCAGTCCCTGAGAAGGGCCTAATTGGTCAGTAACACATGGCTGCTTCCTCTGCCCAGGAGCTCCCAAAACGTGGCATAATTTTCAAAGAAAACACCCAAGCTCTACCCAGCTTCCCTCCCTCTTTTCCCTACCCACATACACACACTGATTTATCATGCTACTGGTCACTCTTACGCCTGTTTACACGTATACTGTAGATTACCATTAGTATGTATTCCTGCTACCTGCTGTCACGTTTCAGCCCTGTTTACATGTATATCCTACTACCAGTAACTTTTTATTTTTACATTTACATTTAAGTCATTTAGCAGACGCTCTTATCCAGAGCGACTTACAGGAGCAATTAGGGTTAAGTGCCTTGCTCAAGGGCACATCGACAGATTTTTCACCTAGTCGGCTCGGGGATTAGAACCAGCGACCTTTCGGTTACTGGCACAACACTCTTAACCACTAAGCTACCTGCCGCCCTATGTATAAACCTACCTCAACCACTCCAGTACCCCTGCAATGAAGAAGTTACTGGCACGGACCTGTATATCGCCTTTCTTCTATTTATATCGCAATTCTTGTGTATTTTTTATTATATTTTTTATTATTATCTACATTACTTTCACCGCATTGTCAGGAAAGAGCTCTCAAGATAAGAATTTTACTGTCCTGTTTTACACCTGTTGTATCCTGTGCACGTGGCGAATACACTTTGAAACACACCCTGACTGGGGTTGGGAGGGACGGCGGGATCTACATGCCTGTCTGACCCCATATGACCCTATGACTTATTCCCCCACAATAACAACACACATTTACAGAAACTAGCCTTCTCCTCCCTCACACGCTCGTCTCCCCCTCACACTATCTCCCCCTATATGCCACTGGGGCAACTCAGCTGACTCTACAACCATCGAGTTTGTTGAGCTGCCTAAAGTTTGGAAGGTTGTCAAGGACTGGGGGTGGGGGGGGTTGTGTGTGCGTGCGTGCGTGCATGCATGCATGCTTGTGTGCGTTTGAAGGACATGCAGGGGCAGCCAGTTAAGCCCTGGGAGCTGGAGGAGAGCAGAGGGGAATGTAGTGGGGAGCGGCCACCTCTGGCAGTTCCAGTGGGCTGGTTTGAATTAGGAACCCCCACCGGGATCCAAGGCTGCGCTTCCTGTGAGAGAGACGGGGGTGGGCGGGTGGGCCGTCAGGGTGAGGGAGGGGAGGGCCGGAATCTCGCCGGCAGCTGCCCGCCGTTTTGCGGGGACTCTCCCTACAATGAGGACCAGATGCAAAAAAAAAATAATCCCCTAACGCCCCCTCACTCTACTCTCTCCTTCCGACCTCTACGGTTCTTTCCCCCCCTCGAGCGTGTCCAACTGTAAAGCTGTAAAAGAGGGCTCCTGCCATGCCCGTGTCCTGTGGATGACCCAGAGCAGAGGGCCATACACAGAGGCTAAAGGAAGAAGGGAGTGACAGCTGAGAGAGAAATATAGAAGGAGAGAGAAAGGGGGAAGGATATAAATATAGGAGGGTAGAGCGGGATAGAGAAAAAGAGATGGAGAGAGAGAAAAGGGAGAAATGTAGAAGGATAGGGAGAGAGAGAGAGAAAGAAAGAGAGAAGTAGAGACATCAACTAAATGGACAGAGAGCTTTCTCAGGTCTTGCTGGGAGGGCAGCTTGGCAACACTATGGCCACTTGTCCATTTCTTCAGAATGAGCCAGTCTGAATGGGAGCAGGATTCACTAGCACCGACTTCAATACAGCTTTACTAACTCAGGATTAGGGAAGTAACGTCATATTCCAAAAAGAGCGAGGCCAAATGTTCATCCCGGAAAGGGAGCTGTATCCTTGCCATAGAGGCAGTTCTGAATAGCCTACTACACAGTGTGTGTGCTTGTGTGTATGTGTGTGTGTGTGTGTTTGTGTGTATATGTGTGTGTGTTAGACTGTGCTTCTGGCCAACAGTCTGTACATGGCCTCCACGTAACTCCATACAGCCCCCTAGTGGCCAAGACAGGCATAGTGTAAGCATGAGCATCCGGTAAGAGTCTCCACCAGGGCCTTTACTGGCCAACTCCAACAGAAAATGTAGTGAGTGTCAGCAGATCTAGAGAAGTATCAGGCAATGTATGCCTTGACTGCAGGGCTCAGAATGCAACCATTTAGTCGCATTTTGCGACCCTTTGGTACTTGGTATTTTATTAGGATCCCCATTATCTTTTGCATTAGGACTCTTCCTGGGGTCCATACAAAACATGAAACATGACATAATACAGAACATTTAAAAAAAAGTATGTAGTTCTGTCCTTGAGCTGTTCTTGTCTATTAAAGGCACATGTAGCCTACATATCAATACATACACACAAACTATCTAGGTCAAATAGGGGAGAGGCGTTGTGCCGTGAGGTATTGCTTTATCTGTTTTTGAAATCAGGTTTGCTGTTGATTTTAGCAATATGATGGCTCTATATAATACTGTATGCTTTCTTGAATTTGTTCTGGATTTGGGGACTGTGAAAAGACCCCTGGTGGCATGTCTGGTGGGGTAAGTGTGTGTCAGAGCTGTGTGTAAGTTGACTATGCAAACAATTTGGGATTTTCAACACATTGTGATGCAGTCAGTCTCTCCTCAACTCTTAGCCAAGAGAGACTGGCATGCATAGTATTTATATCAGACCTCTAATTACAATGAAGAGCAAGACGTGCCGCTCTGTTATGGGCCTTTGACTTGGTTGTGTGAGTTTAAAAAAATATAGATTAAGTCGCATCGGTGCGAGCTGCACATTCATTCACCTCACTCAAAACGTCCTATTTCTTAGGAGGCTAAAACCATGATTTGGTCAAACAGTAAAGTCCATTATCCTTATGATTCCTGCAATGACAGTGTCTGCCTGCCTGCCTGCCTCTGTAGCTGTTCGCTGGGGCCTGCTGCTGTGTCGAGCGAGCCACTCTCTGTCCTTTCCATGGGAAACAAAATGCTTAGGGAGAAAAAAGTGTGTTCTGATTGTATAACATTTTAAAATCCAATTGGGGGGAAAACACAGCTATCCTGTTGTCACAGTTGGAGAGGGGATGTTCTCAGCTTTGTCGGTATACTTTATTTCTCTACTTAAATGTTGAGCTCAATGCAACTATTTTACAAACAAGATATTTGGTATGGCTTTGTGATACTGAGCGCGTGAAATGCACATTGGCCATTCCGAGTTCATAGGCCTCATTGGCCGGTAGGCTACAAAGGCAACCTTTTTTGGGACATTACATTTACTCTTAGATTAATACATGACTACTAGCTGTGGGTAATATATTAAGAGTTAGCGATCTAGCTAATGTCAGGTGGTGAAATAGCCCCAAATAAATTAGCCTATGATATTGGAGCACAAAGATGCAGGAAAATTAATCTCTATTGAACCAAAATAAATCAGAAAATTCTGGAGCCCTTTTTTAACAGTAAAATATAACAATAACATAATTCTCTACCCAAAATGCATGACAATCACTGGATTAGGTTGCACAAAATATTTTGAACCACACCATGAAAAGATGATGAAACAACTTATTTCTTCAATACCATTTCAGTCTATTACACTTTTTAATAGAGCACTTTATAAGGTTATAGAAATGTTTTCTACTGCGTGAAGGCGCAGGAAAAAATTGGTGCGACCTAATCATCGGCTGGTGCCACCAACTGAAAAACTAGTCTGGAGCCCTGCCTTGAATAACCCAGGCCATTTTTTGTTGCTACATACAAAATAATTGACAGAATCATTCCTCTTAGGAAATCAAAAATGAAGGATATGAAGAGCCTCCATCAGAACTCAAATATACACTATATTTACAAAAGTATGTGGACACCCCTTCAAATTAGTGGATTCGGCTATTTCAGCCACACCGGTCGCTGATAGGTGTATAAAATCGAGCACACAGCCATGCAATCTCCATAGACAAACATTGGCAGTAGCATGGCCTTACTGAAGAGCTCGTTTTGGACCTTACTTAGTCCCTCACTGTTTCGGTCTGTTTTCCTTCCATTTGATGACTAATGAACAGGACTAGAGCCCGACCGATATATTAGTTCACTGATATTTCCGGACGATATTGGCCTTTTATGGCTATATTAGTAACGGACGATAATTTCACCGAAAACCAATATTCAATAAAAAGGATGAAAAAAGGGAATATCATGCTTATCTGAACAGATGGCCATTCTCATGTCAAAAAATCTACATTTGAAGCATATTTCTTGGACAATTGTGCTCTTTTGGATGGGAATTTATGAGAATTCAGTGTGGAAAAAGGACACTAATTTCCCCGCTGTTTAGAGCCCCCCCCCCCCCCCGGTCGGCTCTAAACAGGACCCTGCTGTGTATGCGAATGGAGTTTGTTACCTTTGACTTTGAGTCCTCCATCGTCGTCCGAGTCGCTGTCAGACTCAAAGAGATCCTTGAACTCCTTCTTGTCCACAGCCTTCTTCTCCTGAATCTTCCTGCGTTTGATCTCAGGGAGATCCAAGTCTTCCATCTTAAATCGAGAGAGGAATCGTCAATATGCAGTTCCTTTTCAAAATGTAGTGTTATGGAAAACTTTGATTTGGGACCAGGTGATTTAGGACAATGTATGACAACGAGACCATTGCTCAAGATTCAGAACATGCAGCAAAGTCACTTATACAAAACACTTTACAGATATCTAGGGTTAACACTCCCCAGAAGAAAGCCTAGGGCCACATTGACAACTTTTTTAAGAAGAAAATGTATTGGCCTACACCTCAGTTTGTTTACTAAAACTACTGGAAATTGTAGAGAACTGACCACACTGAAAAACTGAAAAACTAATAAACAACCAAATTCTTAAGATGTGTGCATGAACCTTTTGCCCCAATCTCTCATTGACAACAATGCATTATCTACTCACACTTTCCAAGTTACATGTATAGTTCATTAAATAGGATCAGGTCGTTAATTCATTTGAATTAATGTCCTGAAAATACTGTCTTTGGCCCTAAAGCGGTTACTATGTTGATTGGTGTGTGTCTGATAGTTACCCTCTCCTTCCCAGAGATCTCCAGCTGGATCTCCTTCTCCCTCAGCTTCTTCCACTGGCTGTAGTACCTGGTAAGGGGAGTGCCTTCCTCCGCAGTCTGCTTTTCCCACTTTGCCTGCACACACAAACAACAGCATGAAACACACTTGTTAAACAGCCACTCTACGTTTGTGTGTGTTTTGAGGTATTACTGTCTAGCAGTGCAAGCAAGGGTGCTCATTTTTTTCCTAATATCTGATTCAATCAAAACGTTGGGGTATTCTGGTGTACTTTCATTGCAATCTAGATTTCAAAACATTATTTGCTTCGTTAGCGAGCTCGGTAAGCCGTCGCCCACTGCCGCCCCAACACAAGGAAAAGGGAGAGAAGAAGGGAGAGAGAAAGACAGACAGATCACAAGAGAGACAGAGAGAGAAAGATGAAAGAGAGAGGAGAGGCTGAAAGAGGAGACTTGGAGGATTTACGCCAGTCCTTCCCCTAAAGATCTTTGCGGATGGTATTGATCAGGCCCAATAGGATTATCTGACCTCCAAATCCAATAGACTGTATAGACCGCGGCTTCCTTCGTCGGTTAGCTAAACCTATTTACGACAATTTGCAGTGGCGGTTATTAGGCTGGTCCCTGGCACAAAGAGGAGAGGACGTGAACAGAAAAAGAGCAAAGGCTTTTGAAAACACTTCAAACCCAGACAAAACGCTAACCGGATTATGGGCAATATTTTGGCTTTACCGTTCTCTCACACCTGGTCTACCTACTTGGGTAATTGGGCAAAAACCCTTTCACTCAAAATATATATAAAAAAAGCATAGGCCTACTAAGAAAACATATATTTAGGCTTCAGTTCAGACACATTCAAATGTGATCTGAGGACAAGGAAACACCGTTTTCAGTAGCATGTTTTATAAATATTAAAAACTGAAAGATAAACTGAAAGATAATACTAAAATGCTTGAATGTACACTCACGATGCTACAAGGCACACTCAATGCTTCAATTACCGGTACAACTCTCCGGCATATCCAATAACTAGTGCTCACTCCGTGTGGTTCTGAATATTGTATTTCTACTGTACAGTAGAGCGAGGGTAGGGGGTAACCATTAATTAGGCTAACTCTTAGTTTGGGTGAGGTGCAGGGGGTGTTTTGGTGTCTGGGGCCAGAGGGGAGCGATGTCCTTTCCACGGCAGCCTGAAACGTGCCTGTACCCGGCCATGGTGACAGGCTCCTCTGGGCTGGGAGCCGTGGCGATAGGCGCTGCCCCCGGTGCCACGCTGTCTGTCTCTTGGTCTCTGCCGGCGAGCATGCACACACAGACTTCTCCAAGGCTAAATTACACAGAGACATCCCCTCTTTAATTTCACTCCTAAACGCTCTTAAATATTTATCACGGGTGCTGGGCGAGGCACTCAGTCAGGACTGGGTGGAGCAAAGCAACGCAGCCTTGGGAGTGTGTGTGTGTTTGGTGGGGCAGGTGGAGAGTGCATACAATGAGAGAGAGAACACACATTTCTGCACACACAGACACGCACGCAAACCTTCGCTCATTAAGGTGAGGGGTGGGGGGGGGGGCGGCTGGTTCAAACCTATTAAGAACATTAATGACCACATAGCCGTCCTTCAACCAGCGCCAGTGTTTACATAGGGATGTCTCCTCCAGCATTTCTTTCCCTTCCTCCGCTTCCTACTCAGGTTTCACTGCAGCGTGTGTAGCCTCTTATCTCCTCACTATCTGTGTGTAACGGACACAGCCAAAGGAGCGCTCAGGGGGTTAGGGGTCAGGCGGCGCATGATGGTTAAATGCTCTCAGCAGGAGGAGACCTTCACAGGCACTTCCTACGTTAGCTCTCCCGGACTGGTGTGCATATGTTTTGGGAAGGGGTTGTACTGGGGGCGGGACTCATCTGGGCAGTGGTTGCTCCCCAACAGACTTCTGTGGGCGTGTGCATGCTGTCTTTTTTTGACCTGTTGGCACAATTGGACTCTCTTGGAGGGGGGCTATCTAAAATTGTTCTGTTCAGCTTCAAAGCTATTCTCAGAAACAATTAGTTAACTAATTGGAATGAAACAAACATGACTCAAGAATCAACCATTGATAAACCATCACGTGATTGAAGAAGCATCAGCCTTGGCTGCTGAAAAACTCGCAATGTCTGATAACTAGGACTGGGAATTGCCAGGGAGCTCACGATACTTAGGTGCCGATACGATATGTATTGCGATCCTCACGATTCTATATGTATTGCGATTCGGTACTGCAATTTTATTGATGTTACAAACATATTGCTCACTATATGTCTGCTCCAGAGAGACAAGAGAGCATGAGAAAATGAGTTTTGATCAGTCATGGAAATAAAAGTGCTGAAAACATGTTGGCTCCCTATTTAAAAACAAGATGCAGAACAAGCTATTGGATGCAAAATACAGGAGTATTGGCACAGGTACAGTCGACTAGCGCAAGCTAACGCTACCTTGCCACAAAGTATCGATATATACTGATCAAAAATATTTTTTAAGTATATAAACGCAACATGTAAAGTGTTGGTCCCATGTTTCATGAGCTGAAATAAAACATCACAGAAATTTTCCATATGCACAAAAAGCTTATTTCTGTCATTTTGTGCACAAATTTGTTTACATCCCTGTTAGTGAGCATTTCTCCTTTGTCTGTAATAAAGCCATTTTGTGCGGAAAAACTCATTCTGATTGGCTTGGCCTGGCTCCCCAGGCACACCCATGGCTGTGCCCCTGCCCAGTCATGTGATATCCATAGGTTTGGGCCTAATGAATTTAAATAAATTGACTGATTTCCTTATATGAACTGTAACTCCGTGAAATCGTTGAAATTGTTACAAGTTGTGTTTATATTTTTGTTCAGTATAATATCATATTTTTACCCACATCACTACTGATAAACCCCCCCCCCCCCAATTCAAGCTGGAATATCATATAGGTACTTTCTATATACTGGGGGTAGCAGACAGAGGGACTGATGGGAAAGTGTGTGTGTGTGCTGAAGAGGTGAAATGAGGGCACTGGAACAGCAGCCCAGACGACCTGGCACTGACAGGCTCGCTCACGGGTGGGCGGACGCACACACACTTACACACAGCCAAACTCACCACGGCGGTTGCGTCGGCCACTCCAAAGGCGGCCCTCTGTCTCCGGGCTGTGATGTGGCCGCTGTTCTCCTGTACCTTCTCCAAGAGCTGGCGGATCTGCTTGCAGTAATTGGCCACTTTGCATTCCTTCAGGAAGGCTTTCAGCTGTGGAGCGGCGGAGGACAGGAAGACAGAAAAAAAAAAAAAGAGGGAGGAAGAGAGAAAAACTGTAAATAATCATCTAGTCTGGTGCTTGTCTTTTCCCTCTGGACTGTGTCGTTGATACTCTGTGCCCAGTGTGTGTGTGTGTAGCAACAGTAAAGGCTAAGAGTACAAGAAGAACTCCGTCATGCAGTCTGGAAGAGGGCGAAGGAAGAGGAGGACTTCAGTGACTGTTTACTTTGGTGAGGGCAGATTCTGACTTCGTGGGTCGGTTGGCTGAGGAAGTGGGCTCAGTGGTCGGTCGCCAGGGCCGTAAAAACAACTGACCATTTAGCAAATGTGTAAAATAAAAAAAGGCAAGTGTCCATCGTGTGGGGAGGTGAGACGAGGTATGGTGGTGGTATTACCTGGATGATGGTGGGCAGGGCCAGCTCTGGGAAGCCAATGGAGAAGGCCTGAGAGTGGAAGTACTCCAGGATGAGGTCATACATCTGTTCTAGCAGCCCATCCTGAAACAACAACAACAACAAACTCAGAAACGTTGAAATGTTATTGTCACGTCACATTCAAGAGACTTGTTGGGTAAAATAACCTATAAGAACCAATGTGTGTGTGTGTGTGTGTGTGTGTGTGGGGGGGGTCGCAATTCTGTCTGAAACTTGATTACAAACAGGGACACCTTAGCGCACTAACACCAATCCTTATGTTACGTCTCACACACACACACACGTTACGGATCACAGCTATTTATGTGTTAAAACAGTGTTCCAGCTGTTGCTTATTCCACAAGTTTCCACCGGCTATGACGGCGAAATGCCTATTTACTGTTCCATCCACTGTCTCATCAGCCCAGCCACGCAATTTATAAAATTCATCTTCACTGTAAAAAGCATCTAAACATCGAGTACATTTACATGAACACTTATACAGTGGCTTGCGAAAGTATTCACCCCCCTTGGCATTTCTCCTATTTTGTTGCCTTACAACCTGGAATTAAAATAGATTTTTTGTATCATTTGATTTACACAACATGCCTACACAACATGCCTACCACAAACAAGAAATAACTTGAGCGTGCATAACTATTCACCCCCACAAAGTCAATACTTTGTAGAGCCACCTTTTTCAGCAATTACAGCTGCAAGTCTCTTCGGGTATGTCTCTATAAGCTTGGCACATCTAGCCACTGGGATTTTTGCCCATTCTTCAAGGCAAAACTGCTCCAGCTCCTTCAAGTTGGATGGGTTCCGCTGGTGTACAGCAATCTTTAAGTCATACCACAGAGGTCTGGGCTTAGACTAGGCCATTCCAAGACATTTAAATGTTTCCCCTTAAACCACTCAAGTGTTGCTTTAGCAGTATACTTAGGGTCATTGTCCTGCTGGAAGGTGAACCTCCGTCCCAGTCTCAAATCTCTGGAAGACTGAAACAGGTTTCCCTCAAGAATTTCCCTGTATTTAGCGCCATCCATCATTCCTTCAATTCTGACCAGTTTCCCAGTCCCTGCCGATGAAAAACATCCCCACAGCATGATGCTGCCACCACCATGCTTCACTGTGGGGATGGTGTTCTTGGGGTGATGAGGTGTTGGGTTTGCGCCAGACATAGCGTTTTCCTTGATGGCCAAAAAGCTCTATTTTAGTCTCATCTGACCAGAGTACCTTCTTCCATATGTTTGGGGAGTCTCCCACATGCCTTTTGGCGAACACCAAACGTGTTTGCTTATTTTTTTCTTTAAGCAATGGCTTTTTTTCTGGCCACTCTTCCGTAAAGCCCAGCTCTGTGGAGTGTACGGCTTAAAGTGGTCCTATGGACAGATACTCCAATCTCCGCTGTGGAGCTTTGCAGCTCCTTCTGGGTTATCTTTGGTCTCTTTGTTGCCTCTCTGATTAATGCTCTCCTTGCCTGGTCCGTGAGTTATGGTGGGCGGCCCTCTCTTGGCAGGTTTGTTGTGGTGTCATATTCTTTCCATTTTTTTAAATAATGGATTTAAAAAAATGGTGCTCCGTGGGATGTTCAAAGTTTCTGATATTTTTTTTATACCCAAACCTGATCTGTACTTCTCCACAACTTTGTCCCTGACCTGTTTGGAGAGCTCCTTGGTCTTCATGGTGCTGCTTGCTTGGTGGTGCCCCTTGCTTAGTGGTGTTGCAGACTCTGGGGCCTTTCAGGTGTATAAACAGGTAAAAGTCAGTAAATTAGAATATTTTGAAAAACTTGATTTATTTCAGTAATTGCATTCAAAAGGTGTAACTTGTACATTATATTTATTCATTGCACACAGACTGATGCATTCAAATGTTTATTTCATTTAATTCTGATGATTTGAAGTGGCAACAAATGAAAATCCAAAATTCCGTGTGTCACAAAATTAGAATATTGTGTAAGGGTTACATTTTGAAGACACCTGGTGCCACAAAATAATCAGCTGATTAACTCAAAACACCTGCAAAGGGCTTTAAATGGTCTCTCAGTCCAGTTCTGAAGCCTACACAAACATGGGGAAGACTTCAGATTTGACAGCTGTCCAAAAGGCGACCATCGACACATTGCACAAGGAGGGAAAGACACAAAAGGTTATTGCAGAAGAGGCTGGCTGTTCTCAGAGCTCTGTGTCCAAACACATTAATAGAGAGGCAAAGGGAAGGAAAAACTGTGGTCAGAAAAAGTGTACAAGCGATAGGGATCACCGCACCCTAGTCAAGATTGTGAAAAAAAAACCCATTCAAAAATGTGGGGGAGATTCACAAGGAGTGGACAGCTGCTGGAGTCAGGGCTTCAAGATCCACCACCAAGAGACGCTTGAAAGACATGGGTTTCAACTGCCGCATACCTCGTGTCAAGCCACTGTTGACCAAGAAACAGCGCGAAAAGCGTCTCACCTGGGCTAAGGAAAAAAAGAGCTGGACTGCTGCTGAGTGGTCTAAAGTCATGTTTTCTGACGAAAGCAAATTTTGCATTTCCTTTGGAAATCGAGGTCCCAGAGTCTGGAGGAAGACAGGAGAGGCACAGGATCCACGTTGCCTGAAGTCTAGTGTAAAGTTTCCACCATCAGTGATGGTTTGGGGTGCCATGTCATCTGCTGGTGTCGGTCCACTCTGTTTCCTGAGATCAAGGGTCAACGCAGCCGTCTACCAGCAAGTTTTAGAGCACTTCATGCTTCCTGCTGCTGACCTGCTCTATGGAGATGGAGATTTCAGGTTCCAACAGGACTTGGCGCCTGCACACAGCGCAAAATCTACCCGTGCCTGGTTTACGGACCATGGTATTTCTGTTCTAAATTGGCCAGCCAACTCCCCTGACCTTAGCCCCATAGAAAATCTGTGGGGTATTGTGAAAAGGAAGATGCAGAATGCCAGACCCAACAACGCAGAAGAGTTGAAGGCCACTATCAGAGCAACCTGGGCTCTCATAACACCTGAGCAGTGCCAGAAACTCATCGACTCCATGCCACGCCGCATTAATGCAGTAATTGAGGCAAAAGGAGCTCCAACCAAGTATTGAGTATTGTACATGCTCATATTTTTCATTTTCATACTTTTCAGTTGGCCAACATTTCTAAAAAATCCCTTTTTTGTATTAGCCTTAAGTAATATTCTAATTTTGTGACACACGGAATTTTGGATTTTCATTTGTTGCCACTTCAAATCATCAAAATTAAATGAAATAAACATTTGAATGCATCAGTCTGTGTGCAGAATAATATATGTACAGTTACACCTTTTGAATGCAATTACTGAAATAAATCAAGTTTTTCAAAATATTCTAATTTACTGACTTTTACCTGTATACACTGAGATCATTTGATAGATCATGTGACACTTAGTTAAATAAAGTCCACCTGTGTGCAATCTAAGTATGTGACTTCTGAAGGTAATTGGTTGCACCAGATCTTATTTAGGGGCTTCATAGCAAAGGGGGTGAATACATATGCATGCACCACTTTTATGTTATTATTTTGTAGATTTTTTTTAAACAAGTTATTTTTTTTCATTTCACTTCACCAATTTTGACTATTTTGTGTATGTCCATTACATGAAATCCCCCCAAAAAATCCATTTAAATTACAGGTTGTAATGCAACAAAATAGGAAAAACGCCAAGGGGGATGAATACTTTTGCAAGGCACTGGAATTCGATATTAAACTGATTATGGCAGTAGGCAGATTATGCAATAGTCATGTAAACGCCTTACTCTGCTTATCTTAAATCAGCGTAAAGTCAAAATCGAAGTAAGCATACGTGGATTAAAACACCTGGTTTTCGGAGATTATCTTTCGAATTATTAGGACTAGTGTCTTAAAATCGGCATTCCAGCTGTGTATTTGATCTGCACATGTGCTAGCACCAGCCGAGCAAGCCTCCCTTTTTAGTGTGAGTGTAGTGAGTTCGGAACAACTTAGAAGTAGTTTTCACATACAAACTTTAGAAGAACTCAGAAATATTATTCCCAAAAATAACATTCGCTGTGGTAAAATGTTTATTTTGATCGCCGATTTTCTGCATTTATCAGAGTGCCATCAGGTAGCCTGATTTCAGATGTGTCCATGTAAACATTTGCACTTGACTCTCCCAACACCCTAGCTCTGACTTTGCTGATAGCTAATTTATTGAGGAAAAGTGTACTTACTATGCCTGTGATGTGGTTGTCCCACCTAGCCATCTTAAGATGAATGCACTAACTTTGAGTCGCTCTGGATAAGAGTCTGCTAAATTACTAAAATGTAAGTGGGTGCTCAGGATGATAGACAAGTTTCCCAAGTAGATTTTTCCCAGTTGTATGTGGTAAATTCCCACTTGGTTCCAAACGCACCATGACACTGCCTCCTTCAGGGCCAGATGCTCAATTGTGACTCTCATAAAGGGGGCGTGTCTGTAGCGCGGTACATCTCCCACTCAGGGGTAATGTGATGGGCTGTCACTGTTAACACTTGGAATTCCATAACTACTAGAATGGCCATTCTGACTGTTGATATTTCAATTGTGTCAATATTCCATAATAAATTAATGCATTTATTATGTTAAAATAGGTCATAAGAAACCTCAGGACACCAAATGTAAATTGTAATCAGTCAGAAAATCTATTTATTGATCCAGAAGTAGCTAGACTGTAAATACAAAAAATAAGATGATAGTGTATTTTCTGACTGTAAGACAACAATTACCTGACCAGCTAATGGCCCTTCCAAACTACACCTAAACTATATTGAAGCTAATTTCACACATATAATAATAGATGCGGCCTGAAGACAAGATTAAATTGACAGTCTGATGGGCGACAATGTTAATCATTGTCAAATGTCAAGAATTGACAAAGGGAACGAAGCTTACCAAAAAGCACTTCTTCCATATCATCCTACAGGAGGTCAATGCAGGCCAGACGTTTTGATTGTCATACCCTATCAGAAAGAGCAGATGCCAAGGTTTCTAATTAACCTATTTGGTCCCCCCAAAAAAATCTACAAATTGTACAGATGGTCTCGGTTTCAAAACACAGTGCATTCGGGATGTATTCAGACCCATTTACTTTTTCCAAATTTTGTTAGGTTACAGCCTTATTCTAAAATTGATTATATACACTGCTCAAAAAAATAAAGGGAACACTAAAATAACACATCCTAGATCTGAATGAATGAAATAATCTTATTAAATACTTTTTTTCTTTACATAGTTGAATGTGCTGACAACAAAATCACACAAAAATTATCAATGGAAATCAAATGTATCAACCCATGGAGGTCTGGATTTGGAGTCACCCTCAAAATTAAAGTGGAAAACCACACTACAGGCTGATCCAACTTTGATGTAATGTCCTTAAAACAAGTCAAAATGAGGCTCAGTAGTGTGTGTGGCCTCCACGTGCCTGTATGACCTCCCTACAACGCCTGGGCATGCTCCTGATGAGGTGGCGGATGGTCTCCTGAGGGATCTCCTCCCAGACCTGGACTAAAGCATCCGCCAACTCCTGGACAGTCTGTGGTGCATTGTGGCGTTGGTGGATGGAGCGAGACATAATGTCCCAGATGTGCTCAATTGGATTCAGGTCTGGGGAACGGGCGGGCCAGTCCATAGCATCAATGCCTTCCTCTTGTAGGAACTGCTGACACACTCCAGCCACATGAGGTCTAGCATTGTCTTGCATTAGGAGGAAACCAGGGCCAACCGCACCAGCATATGGTCTCACAAGGGGTCTGAGGATCTCATCTCGGTACCTAATGGCAGTCAGGCTACCTCTGGCGAGCACATGGAGGGCTGTGCGGCCCCCCAAAGAAATGCCACCCCACACCATGACTGACCCACCGCCAAACCGGTCATGCTGGAGGATGTTGCAGGCAGCAGAACGTTCTCCACGGCGTCTCCAGACTCTGTCACGTGCTCAGTGTGAACCTGCTTTCATCTGTGAAGAGCACAGGGCGCCAGTGGCGAATTTGCCAATCTTGGTGTTCTCTGGCAAATGCCAAACGTCCTGCACAGTGTTGGGCTGTAAGCACAACCCCCACCTGTGGATGTCGGGCCCTCATACCACCCTCATGGAGTCTGTTTCTGACCGTTTGAGCAGACACATGCACATTTGTGGCCTGCTGGAGGTCATTTTGCAAGGCTCTGGCAGTGCTCCTCCTGCTCCTCCTTGCACAAAGGCGGAGGTAGCAGTCCTGCTGCTGGGTTGTTGCCCTCCTACGGCCTCATCCACGTCTCCTGATGTACTGGCCTGTCTCCTGGTAGCGCCTCCATGCTCTGGACACTACGCTGACAGACACAGCAAACCTTCTTGCCACAGCTCGCATTGATGTGCCATCCTGGATTAGCTGCACTACCTGAGCCACTTGTGTGGGTTGTAGACTCTGTCTCATGCTACCACTAGAGTGAAAGCACCGCCAGCATTCAAAAGTGACCAAAACATCAGCCAGGAAGCATAGGAACTGAGAAGTGGTCTGTGGTCACCACCTGCAAAACCAGTCCTTTATTGGGGGTGTCTTGCTAATTGCCTATAATTTCCACCTGTTGTCTATTCCATTTGCACAACAGCATGTGAAATGTATTGTCAATCAGTGTTGCTTCCTAAGTGGACAGTTTGATTTCACAGAAGTGTGATTGACTTGGAGTTACATTGTGTTGTTTAAGTGTTCCCTTTATTTTTTTGAGCAGTGTAGTTTTTTCCCCCCCTCATCAAATCAACACAATACTCCATAATGACAAAGCAAAAACCGTTTTTGAAATTCTTGCTGATTTATTAACAATAAAAACTGAAATATCACATTTACGTAAGTATTCAGACCCTTTACTCAGTACTTTGTTGAAGCCCCTTTGGCAGCAATTACAGCCAAGTCTTCTTGGGTATGAAGCTACAAGCTTGGCACACCTGTATTTGGGGAGTTTTTCCCATTCTTCTCTGCAGATCCTCTCAAGCTCTGTCAGGTTGGATGGGGAGCGCCGCTGCACAGCTATTTTCAGGTCTCTCCACTCAAGGACATTCAGAGACTTGTCTCGAAGCCACTCCTGCGTTGTCTTGGCTGTGTGCTTAGGGTCGTTGTCCTGTTGGAAGGTGAACCTTTGCCCCAGTCTGAAGTCCTGAGTGCTCTGGAGCAGGTTTTCATCAAGGATCTCTCTGTACTTTGCTCCATTCATCTTTAACTCGATCCTGACTAGTCTCCCAGTCCCTGCCGCTGAAAAACATCCCCACAGCATGATGCTGCCACCACCATGCTTCACCGTAGGGATGGTGCCAGGTTTCCTCCAGATGTGACGCTTGGCATTCAGGCCAAAGAGTTCAATCTTGGTTTCATCAAACCAGAGAATCTTGTTTCCTTTAGGTGCCTTTTGGCAAACTCCAAGCAGGCTGTCATGTGCCTTTTACTGAGGAGTGGCTTCCGGCTGGCCACTCTACCATAAAGGTCTGATTGGTGGAGTGCTGCAGAGATTGTTGTTCTTCTGGAAGGTTCTCCCATCTCCACAGAGGAACGCTGGAGCGCTGTCAGAATGACCATCAGGTTCTTGGTCACCTTCCTGGGAAGCCAGCTCTAGGAAGAGTCTTGGTGGTTCCAAACTTCTTCCATTTAAGAATGATGAAGGCCACTGTGTTCAATGCTGCAGACATTTTTTGGTACCCTTCCCGAGATCTGTGCCTCGACACAATCCTGTCTCGGAGCTCTACATACAATTCCTTCAACCTCTTGGCTTGGTGGGCCCTTATATAGACAGGTGTGTGCCTGTTACCACAGGTGGACTGAAATCAAGTTGTAGAAACGTCTCAAGAATGATCAATGAAAATAGGATGCACCTGAGCTCAATTTCGAGTCTCATAGCAAAGGGTCTGAATACTTATGTAAATATGTTTATTTTTATATATATTTACAAAGAATTCTAAAAACCTGTTTTTTGCTTTCTCATTATGGGGTATTGTGTGTAGATTGATGAGGAGTTTTTATTGATTTAATCCATTTTAGAATAAGGCTGTAATGTAACAAAATGTGGAAAAGGGGAAGGGGTCTGAATACTTTGCGAATGCACTGTATAGCAGTCCACTGAATTGAAGCAGTCTTATTACTTGGAGTAGGCTACACAGTGAGAGCGTGCATAATTTATAATGGCAAGACCAAGACTAACGGATGCACATGCTGTGTTAGCGTTGCGACAAGATCTGAATAAAAACAACTCCGATGGCGGGGATGAAACAGATCATGACATCTCTGATGATGATTATTCTGATTCATGCTGAACAGCTTTCTATATCTGGGAAAGGATCCATACTAGGCAGCAGGTGAGCGAGTGTCCAATAACGTTTCGGATCAGATGGCACAGCTGTACTCGTGAAAGGAGGAACTCGCCGCTGGCCTGTTGCTGTGCTCTACAATATGCTTGACTTGGCCGCTATCAATGCACACGTGTTGTTCAAGCAGTGCATGAACAACAACGTGAACAGGAGAGACTTCATCATAAGTCTGGCACTACCTGAGAGACATATAAGGGCCAAAGCAGCAGCCAAGATTCCACGCGAGCCATTGCGCACAGCTCCCGGGAGGAGAAACTCCCAGGTGGGCAGATGCACTCGGAACAGAACCAACAACACCTGTTTCAGCTGCAAGTAACTTGTTTGTGGGAAGTGTAGAAATCAAGTGAAAGTGACAAAGATTTGTGGTGATTGTTAGGAAAAGGGTCGAGTCATGCGTCCTCCAAAACATGACCCGCCAAACTGCGCTCCTTAACATCTGCCCGCTTAAGCCGGAAACCAGCCGCACCAATGTGTCGGAGGAAACACAGTTCAACTGATGACCGAAGTCAGCCTGCAGGCACCGGCACGCCACAAGGAGTCGCTAGAGCGCGATGAGCCAAGTAAAGCCCCCCCGGCCAAACCCTCCCTTAACCCGGACGGCACTGGGCCAAATGTGCGCCGCACATTTGACTCCCGGTGTTCACATTTGACTCCCAAATGACTCCCGGTCACGGCCGGTTATGACACAGCCTGGGATCAAATCCGGGTCAGTAGTGACGACTCAAGCACTGCGATGCAGTGCCTTAGACCGCTGCCCCACTCGGGAGGCCCCTCCTACATTTTTCAACTTAGGCGCACATGTGCTCCTTGTAAGAAAATTCAGCGTAGACCCCTGCTTATGAAAAGGTTATTATGTTATTTAAATATATTTACATTTCATATTCTAATGTTACCCAACACCTTAAAACACAACCAAATGACACTGGCATGAAGTGGGGTCCAACAAGGCCAGGCTTTTCTAGTTAAATTAATTTATTAGACTGGCGGCTATTGGTACTCCTCGAGGCCCGGCTATTCTACTGTTAAATATACATACGGTCATTTTGACCGTCATGGCGCTTTGAGGATGAAATGCTCAGAAAGTTTGTATTTTATTATATTTATCTCAAAGCACTGCTAGAGTGTAAAATACACATATTTAGGAAAAGCCAGGGACAGGTGGGTAAAGGTTTTTATTGAAATGAAGTTATTGAAATTGAAAACTGTCAGATTGACCATCTTGGCTGTTCTAGTGTTAAGTAAGCGCAACACGGTGCATTGGCCAATTCATTGATGGCTTGCTTATATAGAGTGGGTACTACCTGTTTGCTAAAATGGGTGCAAGAGGGAAGTTCGTAACGTGGCTCGAGCACTTTCATAAGGTGCTGAAACCCCTTATTCTCAACCAACGAGAATGGGCGTATATCCGCGGCTATAAACCAAAGACTGTAAAAAAAATATAAACACAGCCTACCTATCGCTCTTGTAATTTATTTGGCCCGGTCAGAATCAGCTGCCAAGGGTTGCTTAAATGCAGAAGATGTTGTGTTGTTGTTTCTTTGCGTTTCCAACTTACTGCGGTATACTGGGGTGATGTTGGCGTAAATGTGGCAACATATTTGAGGTGTTGGCAGCTGCATAGGCTACTCTCATTGAGTGTGGTGACATGCTGTTATTATTTTATCCACAACTCTCCATCGCCATTTGGGAAGCCAAATTGTTCCCAAACTGGAGATCTAAATAATGATGAATGGTGGATCCTCTAATTCTGGTTTATCGACCCCACCACTCGCCATCGTACAGAACTAGTTCTCGGCTGCTCCTCACAAAAGGACAGTTTAAAATGCGCCAATTAAAATTAGATTTTTGATTACAACGTGCTCAGATGTTTTAACGGAATAGCCTGAAATTTTTTCTGCTCACAGCCTAGTATTTTTAATGTATGTATTCATTTGGGTTCACAGTAAGTACAGATATGTGTACCGTTACGCCCCTAGATAAGAACATTGCCAACCTGCATGGCAACGGAACATTTTAGAACAAAAATACTTCACGACTGGGTCACGTCTCTGGCAACCTAACCGATAGAATGAAAGAGCAGCCGGTGGACAGGGTAGCAAAGTCGACAGGCTAACATGCTGTTCAAACAGTTGGAAACGGACAGAAGGGTGTATTCATAACAATTAAACTGTTCTACCTTGCTAGCTAGCAAATATATCCAAGTTGGCTAGACTTTAAGCCGGGGGGGGGGGGGTTCTACTAAGCGAACATATGGAATTGTTTTAAGACGGTCATACAAAGGATCATTTAGCTATTTGATTTAGAATTTTAGGACCCCTTTAGGTATCAAAAAAATATATAATTAATTTCTGATGAAACATTTAATTTGGCCTTACTGCTATTAGCCCATAGAAACACACTGAATAACAGGTTCATACATGGAAAAACAGAGTCAAAAAATATCGAAAGGAAGTTTTAAAGTGTCTGTCCTATATCCAAGAGATAAGAAAGATCTGAATGTTTTACAAAGGCACTAAACTACTTCCATATATAAACTCAGCAAAAAAAGAAATGTCCTCTCACTGTCAACTGCACTTATTTTCAGCAAAATTAACATGTGTAGATATTTGTATGAACATAACAAGATTCAACAACAGAGACATAAACTGAACAAGTTCCACAGACATGTGACTAACAGAAATTGAATAATGTGTCCCTGAACAAAGGGTGGGTCAAAATCAAAAGTAACAGTCAGTATCTGATGTGGCCACCAGCTGCATTAAGTACTGCAGTGCATCTCCTCCTCATGGACTGCACCAGATTAGCCAGTTCTTGCTGTGAGATGTTACCCCACTCTTCCACCAAGGCACCTGCAAGTTCCCGGACATTTCTGTGGGGAATGGCCCTAGCCCTCATCCTCCGATCTAACAGGTCCCAGACGTGCTCAATGGGATTGAGATCCGGGCTCTTCGCTGGCCATGGCAGAACACTGACATTCCTGTCTTGCAGGAAATCATGCACAGACCGAGCAGTATGGCTGGTGGCATTGTCATGCTGGAGGGTCATGTCAGGATGAGCCTGCAGGAAGGGTACCACATGAGGGAGGAGGTTGTCTTCCCTGTTATGCACAGCGTTGAGATTGCCTGCAATGACAACCAGCTCAGTTCGATGATGCTGTGACACACCGCCACAGACCATGACGGACCCTCCACCTCCAAATCGATCCCGCTCCAGAGTACAGCCCTCGGTGTAACGCTCATTCCTTCAACGCTAAACGCGAATCCGACCATCACCCCTGGTGAGACAAAACCGCGACTCGTCAGTGAAGAGCACTTTTTGCCAGTTCTGTCTGGTCCAGCGACGGAGGGTTTGTGCCCATAGGCGACGTTGTTGCCGGTGATGTCTGGTGAGGACCTGCCTTACAACAGGCCTACCAGCCCTCAGTCCGGCCCCTCTCAGCCTATTGCGGACAGTCTGAGCACTGATGGAAGGATTGTGGATTCCTGGTGTAACTCGGGCAATTGTTGTTGCCATCCTGTACCTGTCCCGCAGGTGTGATGTTCGGATGTACCGATCCTGTGCAGGTGTTGTTACACGTGGTCTGCCACTGCGAGGACGATCAGCTGTCCGTCCTGTCTCCCTGTAGTGCTGTCTCACTGTACGGACATTGTAATTTATTGCCCTGGCCACATCTGCAGTCCTCATGCCTCCTTGCAGCATGCCTAAGGCATTTTTTCAGAGTCAGTAGAAAGGCCTCTTTAGTGTCCTAAGTTTTCATAATTCATACGAATTATCTTTCAAAGACAGGGTCCTGAAAAAGGGACATTTCTTTTTTTGCTGAGTTTTCTTCCATTCACGAATCTTGTGGGTGTCCTAGAGCAAAACGGAGAACAGTGTGTAGACCAAACCGTTCGGACGCTACAGACGTTTTCGTGAGAAGACTGATTTCCAGGATGTCTCATGGTCTGACAAACACCACTGAAGCTCGGCCACCTTCCGCATCTGCGGTGGAAGGCCGCCATTGGCAGATGAGGTGGATTGAGACGCAGCCCATGAAAAAAAACAAGATATTTCCAGCTTAAACAGATGGACTTTGATGGGGATTTGTATTGTGCTAATTAGATATCTACAGGGGCGCGGAAATTGACTCTAGGGGGTTAAATATAAAGATTAGTTGGCTACTCACTAGCACGTGGGCTTGTGCTTGAGAGATTGTTAATGAGACCTGTGTTAATTTTCTATTATGCTTGCTACAAGAAGTTCATCATTATTAGTGAATGTGCATTATGCATGGTTCTAGTTAAATTTGTAACAAAAATGACATTTTCATTGGGTCTTATAAGTCCGGCAAGTAGCCTAGCGGTTAGAGCTCTGGGCCAGTAACCGAAAGGTCACTGGTTCGAATACCCGAGCCGACAAGCTGAAACATCTGTTGATGTGCCCTTGAGCAAGACACTTAACCCTAACTTGCTCCAGGGGCGGCGTACTACTATGGCTGACCCAGTAAAACAGCATGTTTCACTGCATCTACCTGGTGTATATGACAATAAAAAAAACATGTATTTATTTTTTATTGTGGAATGCTTATATTTATCCTAGGTATAATATCACAAGCCCTGCATTCATTAGATTATTGCTGACTGTTTGAAATGCAGTGTATTTTACCTTTTGTTGTACAACAAAGCTTATTTAGAGATAAATATTGTGAATCACCCATAAGTGAGATCTTTAAAAATATATGATTTATAGGCCATGTCGCCCTACCCCACGTTAAGATAGCATTACCACCAGCTCATCCAAAAGACATGGTCCTCTTTTCCAAATGATTTGGCATGGGTCCGTCAACACGGCAGTTAGGCTATACATGGAATACAACACAGAGCGTATGACCGAATGTTCCATCCATTTGAATTCTATTATGGTAATAACACTCATTTCTGTGCTGTAGGCCAAACTAAGACCCATTGTCACAGTCTATTGTGGTAGTCGGTCACTCTCTACTTGATCTATTGGTCAGATAGGTGCTTGTTTATCCAGGTCTGGCAGTAGCAGGGTTGAGTCATGATACACTGACTGCACGGTAGAAGGAAATCGGTGGAGCCAACCCTAACGAGAGGAGTGCGAGGGATAATCCCAAAGGGCCTTGTGGCAATCCTCTTGGCAGAGACAACGAGCATTGCGACTTACGCCCGGGTAAGAGCCCCAGACATCCGCTTTCGCCCACTGCCCTTAATCCTCTTATCCACACACGGAGGGTAACACCCAGTGTCAGGGAAGAGTGTGAAAATAAATATTAGTTAGGGCCTGAGCCATGGAGCTCATCAGCTGCTCTTGTTGCCTTGTAAATGCCATCGTTATTATATTACACAGACAATAGGTTGAGTTGTGCACCATAATCTAATCTGGAATCTTTAGATATTTTTTTTTAATTTAAGGGAGGGTGGAATTGTGAGGAATTGTTTAACGGTCATATAAATTATTAATCAAATCTGACTGGATTTTCATGAGGAAGTCCAGAACAACTAATACAGTAAAAATATGAAACTAAACTATGTGACGATGCAGGACAACGAGAGCCATTTTCACACAACTCCCGCAGGTTGATCTTAAAAGGACATCCTCTCTCTCCCTGTAGACTTAGGCTACTCCAACAATAGACATCCTAAGATAGTTGCACATGCCCTCTAGACATGCTAAAATAGCTAGGGCTAAGAGAAATACCTGACCGATGATCTATCAGACTATCAATCCTTGTACAAAGGCACCAAGCCACACCATTGTAGGCACCACAATCTCGGCAACCATTATAAAACAGGTGCATCACCATAAGGTCTGCCAGAACAAGTCATAAAAATAACCCAGTTAAAGGAAAGTTGCACAGTAGAGCTGGGACAATAAACTGAAAATGACAGAAACCGACATTGCCTTCCTCTTACCAAAGCATTTTGCGTAAGTAGGTAATTTTCTGTGATTTTGCTACACAACGTTCCTGTAGATTGTTCTAAAACCATTATTTTGTCAACAGTAACAATGATGTTGATTCCTGCTATGAAAGTATCTGCCTGTCCCCGTTTCGCTGTCGGCTGCTGACTCACTCCCTCTCCCCACTGTGCGCACGGAGGAGGGAGAAATGCATTCTGAGAAGCACATGACCGTTGCTCAAAACGCAATTGCGGGAAAAATACAGTTTTCCAAGCAACTACTGTTGTTCTAGATACAGAGAGGAGAGTCACAGCTTTCTGTGATTTTTCCAGTTTATTAGATACACCACCACGCTCACAAAAAATGGTTTGCTCCTACAGACAGTGAGTCACGTGGCCGTGGCTTGCTATATAAAGCAGGCACACAGGCAATGAGGCCTTCACTTAATGTTCAATTGAACGTTAGAATGTGCAAAACGTGTGACCTAAGCGACTTTGAGCGCGGTATGATCGTCAGTGCCCGGCACACCAGTTCCACTATCTCAGAAACGGCCGGTCTCCTTGGCTTTTCACGCACAACAGTGTAGTGAATAATACAGCCTATAGGCCAATATGCACAGACGTATGCAAATTATCTGAAGAGCCCAAAATAAATCTGATCATTCTAGATCCTATTTTGACAGGTTGCACATCAAAATATCAATCATGCATTCCTTGGATATGTTAGATGAAACAGCTTACATTTTAAGGACAATTTAAGCTAGCAATACTTACCCAGTATATACACGTCTTCTCCTGTTGTAGACAAGCCTATTTAGTTAACATGCTAAACTAGCGGTACTCACCCTGTAGGCCTTCTCCTGCAGGTTGGTGTTGCTGAGCTTCAGGATAACATCAAATTTGATGGGCTTCACACTCATCCGGCCAGGCTTCTTGTTAAAGTCCACCTGATGGATAATCTAAAGGACACACAAAAGAACACAAAATGTGTGCCTTCAGAAGTCATGCTAAATTAGCAAAAACTTTACACACATTAGACAACGTTCAAAACACCAGTGACAGTGCCTGCCCTCAAAAACACACAAGCCAGGACGTCACCATCACTTGAAGTCGCTCAGGATAAGAGCGTCTGCTAAATGACTAAAATGTAATGTAAAATGTATGGGGCTTGTACAATGGAAAAATAATTTTGATTCCTGACGACAGACATTTAAGAAATGATCAATGTAAATATATGGGCAAAAGTTAGACCGTAAAAAAGCATACCAGTAAAAACAACAACCCATCCAACACTATATGCTTGGTGGTTTTTGAGTGTGTTTGCGTGTCCCTGCTGATGTGTCCCTTTAGTAGCTGTGGCTTCTGCAAAAGCTACTGGGGATCCAAATAAACAAATACCAATCATATTGTGCATGTACAGTGGGGGAAAAAAGTATTTAGTCAGCCACCAATTGTGCAAGTTCTCCCACTTAAAAAGATGAGGCCTGTAATTTTCATCATAGGTACACGTCAACTATGACAGTCAAAATGAGAAAAAAAAATTATCCAGAAAATCACATTGTAGGATTTTTAATGAATTTATTTGCAAATGATGGTGGAAAATAAGTATTTGGTCAATAACAAAAGTTTCTCAATACTTTGTTATATACCATTTGTTGGCAATGACACAGGTCAAATGTTTTCTGTAAGTCTTCACAAGGTTTTCACACACTGTTGCTGGTATTTTGGCCCATTCCTCCATGCAGATCTCCTCTAGAGCAGTGATGTTTTGGGGCTGTCGCTGGGCAACACAGACTTTCAACTCCCTCCAAAGATTTTCTATGGGGTTGAGATCTGGAGACTGGCTAGGCCACTCCAGGACCTTGAAATGCTTCTTACGAAGCCACTCCTTCGTTGCCCGGGCGGTGTGTTTGGGATCATTGTCATGCTGAAAGACCCAGCCACGTTTCATCTTCAATGCCCTTGCTGATGGAAGGAGGTTTTCACTCAAAATCTCACGATACATGGCCCCATTCATTCTTTCCTTTACACGGATCAGTCGTCCTGGTCCCTTTGCAGAAAAACAGCCCCAAAGCATGATGTTTCCACCCCCATGCTTCACAGTAGGTATGGTGTTCTTTGGATGCAACTCAGCATTCTTTGTCCTCCAAACACGACAAGTTGAGTTTTTACCAAAAAGTTCTATTTTGGTTTCATCTGACCATATGACATTCTCCCAATCCTCTTCTGGATCATCCAAATGCACTCTAGCAAACTTCAGACGGGCCTGGACATGTACTGGCTTAAGCAGGGGGACACGTCTGGCATTGCAGGATTTGAGTCTCTGGCTGCGTAGTGTGTTACTGATGGTAGGCTTTGTTACTTTGGTCCCAGCTCTCTGCAGGTCATTCACTAGGTCCCCCCGTGTGGTTCTGGGATTTTTGCTCACCGTTCTTGTGATCATTTTGACCCCACAGGGTGAGATCTTGCGTGGAGCCCCAGATCGAGGGAGATTATCAGTGGTCTTGTATGTCTTCCATTTCCTAATAATTGCTCCCACAGTTGATTTCTTCAAACCAAGCTGCTTACCTATTGCAGATTCAGTCTTCCCAGCCTGGTGCAGGTCTACAATTTTGTTTCTGGTGTCCTTTGACAGCTCTTTGGTCTTGGCCATAGTGGAGTTTGGAGTGTGACTGTTTGAGGTTGTGGACAGGTGTCTTTTATACTGATAACAAGTTCAAACAGGTGCCATTAATACAGGTAACGAGTGGAGGACAGAGGAGCCTCTTAAAGAAGAAGTTACAGGTCTGTGAGAGCCAGAAATCTTGCTTGTTTGTAGGTGACCAAATACTTATTTTCCACCATAATTTGCAATAAGGCACAAGGGGGTGTGGTATATGGCCAATATACCACGGCTAATGGCTGTTCTTAAGCACGACGCAACGCAGAGTGCCTGGATACAGCCCTTAGCCTTGGTATATTGGCCATATACCACAAAACCCTGAGGTGCCTTATTGCTATTATAAGCTGGTTACCAACATTTACATTTTAATCATTTAGCAGTCGCTCTTATCCAGAGCGACATACAGTTAGTGAATACATCTTTTTTTTTTATACTGGCCCCCCATGGGAGTCGAACCCACAACCCTGACGTTGCAAACGCCATGCTCTATCAACTGAGCTACATCCCTGCCGGCCATTCCCTCCCCTACCCTGGACCAATTGTGCGCCACCCATGAGTCTCCCGGTCGCGGCCGGCTGCGACAGAGCCTGGATTCGAACCAGGATCTCTAGTGGCACAGTTAGCACTGCGATGCAGTGCCTTAGACCACTGCGCCACTCAGGAGTAACCATAATTAGAGTAGTAAATATAAATGTTTTGTCATATCCATGGTATACGGTCTGATCTATCACAGCTGTCAGCCAATCAGCATTCAGGGTTCGAACCACCCAGTTTATAATACCATTTATAAACTGGGATGTTCGAGCCATGAATGCTGATTAGCTGAAAGGTATTTCAGCTCTCCGTACACTACACTATAATTCCAAATGGTAGAACATAGAGTGAATCTTTCCACTTTGTCCTATTGAAGCACACTGGCTGATGGTGAATGATGATGTAGTATTTACAGCCACATCCATATATGATTTGGTTTTACCTTCCAACATAAATTGATGTCAAATGAATACATTTATGAGGTAAAAATATAGTACAGTGTACAGTGTTCCGCAGTTATCAAACTACAATAAATACGTTAACTAGACACTACATAATTTTGGTTCAGTAGTTATCAGTTTGGAGCAGATACTTAGATTGAATATGCATCCAAATTGAAAGAGTGATTTGGTGCAGTGAACAAGTGGCTGTGAATTTGTGTGCAGGAGCACTCATGGCCGGGTCTGTCTGTACAAACTTTGGATGTGGTGACGGTCTGCCCACTAGACACACACACAGAGAGAACACACTCCCACACACGAGTATGTGTGGTGTGCATGCACGTGTGTGTATGATGGTGTGGTCTATGTTATTGTATATGGAGTGTGTGTGTGTCTTCGTGATTGTTAGCCTCCTGCGGTAAGCTAGCATGAGAACGGCAGTATGTAGGCGACCGCTTGTTCGTGTGTGAACGGTTTGAACAGACCAATAAAGACCAGGCTGTGGTTTACACTCTGCTCCCAACTCAAGACATTTTTATGAGTACCACTTCAGCGACGGCACACTCGGCCCCCACGATGCTGCATTTGCCTCAAATCATAGGCTAATGCACCTTTTTTAGCCTAATAATGATGTTGGCAGAAGACTGCCTCAGTAGGAATGGTAGGCTATAGACGGTTATGGGTACTTGGTAATTGGCTTCTCTTCAGTAGCTAACTAGAAATATGTTTGAATGTACAACCAGGGCACTCCCTATGATTTTCTGACAAGGTGGTGCTGATGTAGGCCTAAGGTTTGATACTCCCCCCTCAGGAAGCATTTTTGAAAAACCTGTAACTGACATTCGCTGAAACCTAGACTCTTAAAGTATATCAAACATTGTAGCCAACACAGAAGTCTTGTGTTTGATCCTAAATGAAATTGAAGTGGTCTCAATGACACTTTCACATTTTTCTAGGTTACATTTTGGGGTAATGATTTTTCTAAATATGTGGATAGTCGATTGAAAATGTAAACGGGCTTCTTAAATTTTGTTTGGGGAGAAAATTCAGAATAATTAAATTACTTGATGCAATGTAGTAGTCTAGTTTACTGTAGGCTATTTGTAATATGAAACAACTGAACTAGGCCTATAGGAGCTTGTTTCAGATCTCCATCCCTGACCTAATCAAACTAGGTCTGACTACTAGACTACGATTCATTCAACATGCCTTGTTGTCTGTCATTGGTGAACTATTATCACCTCATTAGCAGCCTATTGTTGATATGCAGCTAAATCAAGAAGACATATCAATAATTAATTAACATAGGCCTACTAATGTTTAACAGTCTAACATAACTTTCTGTGAAGGACGTATTAGCGGAACAGCTCGGCAGGTAGCTTAGTGGTTAAGAGTATTGTGCCAGTAACCGAAAGGTCGCTGGTTCTAATCCCCGAGCCGACTAGGTGAAAAATCTGTCGATGTGCCCTTGAGCAAGGCACTTAACCCTGATTGCTCCTGTAAGTCGCTCTGGATAAGAGCGTCTGCTAAAATGACTAAAATGTATGTATGTTTCCATCCACACAGTGATGCGCACTGAACTACCACAACACCGCACGTTTCCTTGCTTGATGTTTCCTTGCTTGTCAATGCGCTCGTGCCTACTTACCGTTGCGGAGATCAAAGCATATGGAATGTGCTGTGTTACAGGGTCAGCTATTGTATGGCGCCCCTTTAGCAAATTAGGGTTAAGTGCTTTGCTCAAGGGCACAGCGACTGTTTTACATTTACATTTTAGTCATTTAGCAGACGCTCTTATCCAGAGCGACTTACAGTTAGTGAATACATTATATATATTTTTTTTTATACTGGCCCCCCATGGGAATCGAACCCACAACCCTGGCGTTGCAAACGCCATGCTCTATCAACTGAGCTACATCCCTGCCGGCCATTCCCTCCCCTACCCTGGACGACGCTGGGCCAATTGTGCGCCACCCATGAGGTTTTGTTACCTACTCGGCTTGGGGATTCGAACCAGCGACCTTTTGGTTACTGGCCCAACGCTCTTAACTGCTAGGCTACCTGCCGTGGTTAGCCTTAGCTAAGGAGCTAACTACAAAATAATAGTGGTTATGTGCTTGACTAACATATCATTATGGAAAATGTATTTGGCAAACAGTTCATTCTCCATTTTCCCCTTTTTCCTCACACATCAGTGGTATCAATGAATAAACTGGAGAGCTGCCATCCAGGTTGAGGGAGGTAAATAAGTAGTACTATGACTACTGGGGTGGGCCTGAGCAGAGAACTAGAGACAAAAACCACAATGTGCCTACTAGAAGCCTATTTTAGGGTCGTTTTTCATACCAGCGTACTTAGACCTCAAATTGCATGCATGGTATGCAAAATGCATGCAGGTTGGCAGGTTTACTAATGCACTCTCTGCAGACCACATCCTCTCTGCCTATGTCGCAGCCGGCCACCCCCCACCCACACACAAACAGGGGAGGACGAGGGGGGTGCTTTTCTGCTGCTCTAATTAAAAAACAGTAGCAGCGCACACCTCAGCCTCTTTTCTCTTTAACGAGGGGAACAGTTAAAAAAAATTATAAACAGGCAATGGGGTGCATCACAAATAAACAATGTGCGCTGTGAGGGGGTCTTGGAGTATGTGTGCTAGGGGGTGAATGGCTGCGCCGTAGACAGAGAGGATGTGGTCTGCAGAGCACGTTAGAAGCAGTGTAAAACCACAGCCTGGGCTTTATCGCTCTGGTCAGACCAACACACACCAGACCATCATGGTGACCACTCCCACAAGGCCAAGCTGTCACCTCCATACTACCGTTCTCATGTTAGCTTACCACAGGAGGCTAGCACTCACTAAGACACATATCACAGGGCTCGACATCAACACCCAAAAAAATTGTCAGACAAGAAGAATCGATCGAAGTTGTCCGAATGGACAAGTAAAAGTAAATACAAAAATCACACAAAATCAATTACTCCGATCAGAATTGGATCAGAGAGGTCAACATTGGAATAATATTACATCTATTTTCCATGTATATAAATAAAAAAGCCTAGATGTCGAAGTGTAGGTGTTATGCATATCAGCTACAGCTTAATGTCCAAACTGATGCTAACATGAGGGAGGCGCCAGAAAATGTAGCCAAACTTTCATGAGACTTTGAATTACATAAACATAAGCTAAACGACAGTCATGTTTGACAAATATAATGAAGAATAATTAACATTACCATCTAAAGGCTTGATTCTTTCGACATACTCGAGGCACGGTTCATTCAAATCAAATGGTCACAAGACCGGAGAGTGAAGGACAGTGCTTGTTGTGCACCGCACCTCACCCACCTCAAATCTGAGCAGAGGTGGTTAGCATCTTGAAAATATGTAACTTTAAAATGTAATTGTTTAAAACCTGGACGTTTTATGTCATTTAATGAAGCATGTCTTACTTCGCCAAATACGACCATAAAAATGTTGAGGGAATTATTTTATAAACACTTAATATGCCATTGAAACCAGCATTTCTGTTTTATTGGTTTTCAAATCAACTTTATTTTATTGTCCAGCAGCATATCGGCATAATCCTAGTCATATTAGTAATCCATGCATCTTCAGAGCTCCTCTTTCTTCATTGCTAACGGATATTTTCATCTCAGTCACATGAAACAGCTTGCGCGTGCAATGCGCTTTTGATAACAGTGTTCTCTCGCTAATTGCATTTTGGAACATTTGCACGTAGCCTACAGTCATGTGCACAATGTTGAGCTTATAATATTAAGAAATAAAACTTTGTCAACATTTTAAGCTAAACGGTCTGATCTGTTGCATCAGCCTCATTACTTTTTTTTTTAAAATGTATGTGCAGTGGTTGTATGAATTTTGGATTTGTCGTCCCAGAACTGTCCCAGAGTGCGTTTTGAACCATAGACAAAAAAAATTATCATGCCAGGGACAACGGGACGCCCTTCATTTTGAGCTCTGGAGCAAATTATTTTATAAAAGACAGAAAAAGTATTTGGTTATAAATTGTAATGTTGCAATATTTTATAGGCTACCAAGGGTGGCCAACCTTAAAGGGGCAGTGTTGTATTTTGAGACAGGCTTGAATATGCAAAGAAGCCAATAGGCAGAGTGTAGCCTACATTTTTGTCTGATTCTCTATGGTAAAAAAGATGGTAATGCATTTTATTTTGTAAAGTGGTTGCTTGTATCATACAATGATGCAAAAATGGTGTTACATACAATTTCTTACTTTTGGACAAGTGAAAAAAATCTGTCCTACTTGTCCTAAGGACAAGTGGCAAAAAAAAGTTTGTCAAACCCTGCACCATATATAGAATCATATATAAACACACACATCACACACACACACACACGGACATGCACACCACATATACTCACAAGCCAAACCCACACGCACACAGCCAAACATGTTGACAGTTTGTGACTTACCCTGATAACAAAGGTGTCTAACGCGCACACACAACCCTCAGATGTACTTCCTCCCCCTCATCGTTCAGAGCCTATGCCGTTGTTAGCCGTTGAGACCACGCTAACTGCCTTGATACACTGGACTGTGTTTTCCACTGACACCTGAGAAAATGTTGCATCACTCCCACCCAAGTTGTTTGTTTCCATTGGTTTTGTTGCCCAAGGTTGTCCTCTTGTCATATTGCTACCATCTAATCAACCCCTTCAGATCAAGGCTACACAAGTGCTTAGGGCAGGGGTGGCCAACCCTCCTCATAGTGAGCTACTGGGTATGCAGGGTTTTGATCCAACCCTTTTGAAAGTTAACATACCAGATTCAGCAAATCATGGTCCGGTGAGCATCTAACCAGTTCAAATTAGGTGTGATACCTAGACTAGGGTTGGAGCAAAATCCTTCAGGGCTCGTATTCACAAAGAATCTAAGAGTAGGAGTGCTGATCTAGGATCAGGTCCCTCCTGTCCATGTAATATTATTCATTATTAAGGAAAAAAGGCAAAACTGGTCCTAGATCAGCACTCCTACTGGGAGACGCTTTGTGAATACAGGCTTAGGAGGGTAGTGCTCTTGGGGGAAGGTTGGGCACCCTTAGCATAGGGGGTAGAGGAGAGATGGTGATGGGTGGATTTGGCTCTTACCTCCAGTAGGAAGGGCAGAACGGGCACAAAGGTGTGTGTGCTGCCAGAGAGGAGGGTGAGGGCACGCACACAGTGGATCCTCAGAGGGTAGTAGCGTGACGTGGGCACCAGCCTGCACAGCAAGACCGATACAGATTCAGTGGTTAACACTACCATCTGCTGGTGGAAGTGTGAAGTACAACTTGTTTTTAGGGCAGAGGTGGGCAATACATTTGGCTCAAATCAAATCAAATTGTATTTGCCACATGCGCCAAATACAACAGGTGTAGACATTACAGTGAAATGCTTACTTACAAGCCCTTAACCAACAATGCATTTTTATTTATTTTTAATTTTTTAAAGTGTTAAGTAAAAAAAATAAAAGCAAATAACTAAAGAGCAGCAGTAACATAAAAAAAACGTAGGGAGGCTATATACAGGGGGGTACTGGTGCAGAGTCAATGTGCGGGGGCACTGGCTAGTCGAGGTAATATGTACGTGGGTAGAGTTAAAGTGACTATGCATAAATAATAGACAGAGTAGCAGCAGCGTAAAAGAGGGGGGTGGGGGGGCAGTGCAAATAGTCCGGGTAGCAATGATTAGCTGTTCAGGAGTCTCGAGGGCCACATCGAGATTAAGAAATTCTATAGCGGGCCAAACAATCATTTCTATGTGTGTGTGTGTGTGTGTGTGTGTGTCTGTGTGTGTACCCACTTGATGGTGCCCACTATGACCTGGCACAGTGGGTAGATGAGGGGCTGCAGGACGTCGCTAGGGTGCAGCGTGCTGAGCACACGACACCACAGGTACAGGCAGTGGACAAACTGCCAGTTATACACCGACTGGTACGTCTCCTACAGGGATCACACACAGACACAGACACCTTAAATTAGATCAAATTTAACATCAGCACTGATCTACATGCCATTCGTCGTTTGTAATAAAGAATATTGTAAACAAGCTTTTTGAGATTACTGGGACAAATCTTGAGAAAAGCAGCCGTCTAAAATAAAAGTGGAACCCTTGGCTCCTATGTTAGCATGTCACTTTGACCACGCAATAAAACATCTTTATAAATAACATTATTCCTATTATTATTACTACTATCATTATCTGCACTTCCTAGTGTCCTATATCATACCTCATAATCATTAACCTGTGTACTCTTACGTCACACATAGTCCTTGGCTATGTTCTCCAAATGTTGGTATTTGATTAGGATCCCCATTAGCTGTTGCGAAAGCAGCAGCTACTCTTCCTGGGGTCCACACAAAACATGGCATAATAGAGAACATTAATCAAAAAGAAAAGCTCAAGGACATAACTACATGCATTTAAGATGTCACATAAACTACATATATCAGTACATACACACAAAAGATCTAGGTCAAATAGGGGAGGTGTTGCCTTCTGTTTTTTGAAACCAGGTTTGCTTTTCACTTTAGCGATCTGAGATGGAAAGGAGTTCCATGCAATCATGGCTCTATAAAATACTGTAGTTTTTTTAATTTGTTCTGGATTTGGAGACTGTGAAAAGACCCCTGCTGGCATGTCTGGTGGGGTAGGTGTGTGTGTGTCAGCGCTGTGTGTAAGTTGAATATGAAAACAATTCAGAATTTAACACATTGTTTCTTATAAAAATAAGAAGCGATGCAGTCAATCTCTCCTATACTTTTAGCCAAGACAGACTGGCATGCATAGTATTGATATTAGCCCTCTGATTACAGTGAAGAGCAAGACGTGCCACTCTGTTCTAGGCCAGCTGCAGTTTTTCTAGGTCCTTCTGTGCAGCACCTGACCATATGACCGGGCAATCATCAAGATACTTTTGTATATATAGTGTATGTGGACACCCCTTCAAATTAGTGGTTTTCGGCTATTTCAGCCACACCTGTTGACCGGTGTATAAAATCGAGCACACCGCCATGCAATCTCCATAGACAAACATTGGCAGAAGAATGGCCTTACTGAAGAGCTCAGTGCCTTTCAACGTGGCACTGTCACAGGATGCCACCTTTCCAACAAGTCAGTTAGTCAAATGTATGCCCTGCTAGAGCTGCCACGGTCAACTGTAAGTGCTGTTATTGTGAAGTGGAAACGTCTAGGCACAACAACGGCTCAGCCGCGAAGTGGTAGGCCACACAAGCTCACAGAACGGGATCACCGAGTACTGAAGCGCGTAACATGTAAAAATCGTCTGTCCTCGGTTGCAACACTCACTACCGAGTTCAAAACTGCCTCTGGAAGCAACATCAGCACAAGAACTGTACGTTGGGAGCTTCATGAAATGGGTTTACGTGGCCAAGCAGCCACACAAGCCTAAGATCACCATGCGCAATGCCAAGCGTCGGCTAGAGTGGTGTAAAGCCCACCACTATTGGACTATGGAGCAGTGGAAACGCGTTCTCTGGAGTGATGAATCATGCTTCACCATCTGGCAGTCCGACGCATGAATCTGGGTTTGGCGGATGCCAGGAGAACGCTACCTGCATAGTGCCAACTGTAAAGTTTGGTGGAGGAGCAACAATGGTTTGGGGCTGTTTTTCATGGTTCGAGCTAGGCCCCTGAGTTCCAGTGAAGGTAAATCTTAACACTACAGCATACAATGACATTCTAGACGATTCTGTGCTTCCAACTTTGTGGCAACAGTTTGGGGAAGGCCCTTTCCTGTTTCAGCATGAAAACCCCTGTGCACAAAGTGAGGTCCATACATAAATGGTTTGTTGAGATCGATGTGGAAGAACTTGACTGGCATGCACAGAGCCCTGACCTCAACCCCATCGAACACCTTTGGGATGAATTGGATCGCCGACTGCAAGCCAGGCCTAATCGCCCAACATCAGTGCCCAACCTCACAAATGCTTTTGTGGCTGAATGGAAGCAAGTACCCGCAGCAATGTTCCAACATCTAGTGGAAAGGCTTCCTAGAAGAGTGGAGGCTGTTATATAGCAGCAAAGGATGAACTAACTCCATATTAACAGCCATGATATTGGAATGAAATGTTCGACAAGCAGGTTTCCACATACTTTTGGTCATGTAGTGTATGTTCCACTGATGCCACCTTTTCAAGTTCCCATGTATTGGTTCACCAAGACCAGTGTAAAAAGACATGGGGACTGAGCTCAGTAGATTGATTTAGCTCTGAAGAGGCATTGTATAGAATGGAGGGTGCTGTAGCTCTGCTGGTGTTGCTGTTCTCTCTGTCTGCAGCATGGGTTCAGGGAGAGAGTGCCAGGGTGAGAGAGAATGACATCACTCAACAGGGTCACAGTGAAGGGAGAGCGAGCAGGGAGAGTGATGTTGAACAGTTTACCAACCAGCCTGACATCTGGACTGAGCTGAAGGAGCTGAGAGACATGGTGGTGGAAGAGAGAGTGGAGCTGAGGAACATGGGGGTAGGACCAGGCAATATTGCCAAAATATCATACCACAATATTTTTGGATGATATTTGTGGTTTTTGAATAATAAAAGTTCTAAAACGTGCTTTATGAGTAGGGCATGGCCCTAGGGTGGCAATACATTCTAAGCATTTTTAATTAGGCTTTGTCCATTGTGATTGTGTTATACTGTTCAATAAAGCTTCCACCAAAAGTTGTAATATAGTGGGCACTTTGAATACAGTGTTGTTTGACATGACAACTAATGAAAATGCCAGGGAGGGGTTTTTGTGACAGGGTAGGAACCAAAGTGTTGGTAAGTTTTTCCCAGTAGACCCTAATTAATGTTACATTAAATTTTTTCACTTAACTGTAGGTTTGACATAGCTAAAATACAAATCAGCACTGGTATCAGGCTGTATGGGACAGCTAGCTACGTTTGCGCTTACTAACTACATTTAGCTAGCGATTAGCATTAGCGGCTAACACAATTTATTTTAGCCACAACTTGCTGTTTGCAGACAGTAAAATACACGAACTAAGTGCGATTATAGAACGATTGTGGATTTATATTAAAGAATCAAAGTGGAAAGCAGCATCGTCACCAACATCTGCGGCATTGACCATGCAGACTGTCTCTGCGAGTGGTTGTTGTGACTCGTGGTAGCGCAAAAACTGACAGGAGGCGGGGCTTGGTGTGTGGAAGGAGAGAGACAACTCAAGTAGCAAACTATAAAAACTGACATTATTACACGCGGCGGAGTGGCGTAACACAATTAACAAACCAAACATTGAAATACTGTTATGTAAAGTAAAAACCCAAAACAGGTCGGTGCATCAATACCGGTTTATAATAAAATACGGTATATCGCCCAGACCTACATGGTGGCCTGAGTGACTGCCAGGTTGATGTTCTGACAGTGGAGCTGAGTGTCACTGAACTGCAGTTCCACAAGAACAAGGTGGAGGAACTGGAGACAGAACACAGGTACAGTGATGCAGCTACATCTCATTTACTTACTACCGTTCAGTTTCAAGTTTTATTAGTCGTATGTACGGGATACGCATGGTATACAACATCCAACGAAATGCTTACCTCGCAGGTTCCTTCTCGACAATGCAACAATAAGAAATATTGAAAGATAATTCAAACATAAAATAAATGGCAGTAGAATAGAATAATACATTCTAGAATAAGTATAATACAGGAAGGCACAATTAATTGTCCAATATTTACACGTGTATTGGGGAAGGGTAAATTGCGCAGTATAATAAGAGTCTGGTAGCAGCAGCTGTTATGTGTGTGTAGCATGAATGGAATGTGTGTGTGTGTGTGTGTGTGTGTGTGCTAAGGCGCTGAGAATCAGAGCAGGTGGTCAGTCCAGTTAAAGTGTTCAGCAGTCTGATGGCTTGTAGATAGAAACTGTCTCTGAGCATCAGACCTCATTCTCCGATACCATATGCCCGACAGTAAGGGAGAGAACAGCTCGTGGCTGGGTTGTGTGGGGTCCTTGATGATGCTGCGTGCCTTCCTGAGGCACCTTTTTGAGTAGATGTCCTGGATGGGTGGGCGCACGGTCCCAGTGATGTACAGGGCCATCTTCACCACCCGCTGGGGGGGCCTTGCGGTCAGGGAGGGAGCAATTCCCGTACCAGGCCATGATGCAACCGGTCAGGATGCTCTCCTTGGTGCAGTGATAGTATTTGGAGAGGACCCAGGGTGAGAGACATGGGGTAGAGACGCTGTTGTGCCCTCTTGACAAGAGTGGTGGTGTTGTTGGTCCATGACAAGTCCTCGGTGATGTGGACACAGAGGAACTTAAAACTAGGGACTTTTACTTTTGCTGTCCTGTTGATGTGGGTCGTGGCATGTTCCCCCTCTGCTTCCTGAAGTCAACAATCAACTCCTTTGTTTTACTGACTTTGAGGGAGAAGTTTGTCATGACACCACAATGCCAGTTCAATTACCTCCTCCCTATAGGCGGACTCGTCATTGTTGGTGATCAGCCCTACAACCGTGGTGTCGTCAGCAAACTTGATGGAGTTGATGTCGTGCAAAGCCACACAGTCGTGGGTGAACAGGGAGTACAGCAGAGGACTGAGGACACACCAGGATCCAGTTGCAGAGGGTGGTGTCCAGTTCCAGGGCTCTGAGTTTGGTGTCGAGCTTGGAGGGAACAATAACTGTAGTCAATAAACAGCATTCTCACATAGGTGTTCCTCTTGTCCAGATGTGTTATGGCCGTGTGAATAGTGATGGAAATGGCATCTTCCGTGGATCTGTTGAAATGGTAGGCAAATTGGAGTGGGTCCAGTGTGCCTGTCATGCTGGCCTTCATGTGGGCCATGATGAGCCACTCGAAGCACTTCATAATGACCAAGTTGAGCACGACGGGGCGATAGTCATTTGGGCATGTCACCTTGTTTTTCTTGGGCACTGGGACGATGGTGGTCTCCTTAAAGCAGGTGGGGACTACAGCCTGGGAGAGGGACAGGTTGAAAATGTCAGAAGATGCCCGCCAGCCTCGGAGAGCGAAATCACCTGGAGTCTTCCTGGTGAGAACAGAGTCTTCCTGGATGGCTCGGTATTGTCTGCCTCAAAGCGAGCATAGCATGTGTTAAGCTTGTCTGGGAGGCTTCGGTGGGCACCGCACAGCTGGATTTGCCTTTGTAGTCTGTAGTCCTCACCACACACGACGCGAGTGAGTTGTCGAACATCAACAACACATGACATACAGAGATGAGCAAAATATACATCAAAATGTATCTTGTTACAAATTCAACATACTCTAAAGACCAATGTATCAAACACAGATACAAAATATTGTACTATAGTCAAGAAAACAGCAGTGAATTGAAATCATCAGTTTGTTTGTATTTCTTGACATGATATTCTAGCAATGAAGGCCAGAGTATTTTGGGTGATTTTTACTTAATATTTTATCCATTTGTCCTTTCCTTCCAGGCCAAGCAGCAGAACTGTCTTTCATTGGGGCCAGAGTGACAGACAGAGCCAGGTGGAGGAGCTGAAGAGAAACACAGTTATTGAAATCCTAGTAATCTAATCACTAACATTTTAACTAACTGTCATTTAATCACATATTATCATTGTAATCAGAGATGGGCAGTATTTCTGTTACATGTAATTTAAATATTTCAAAAACTTTCGAGACCTGTAATTTGTCATTTCAAAATAATTGTTTAAATAGCGGTTCACAACAATTTGGCCCCTTTCACCCTGCATTGGTATTTACATTTACATTTTAGTCATTTAGCAGACGCTCTTATCCAGAGCGACTTACAGTTAGTGAATGCATACATGTATTTTTTTTATTTTTTTATTTTTCATACTGGCCCCCCCGTGGGAAACGAACCCACATCCCTGCCGGCCAAACCCTCCCCTACCTTGGACGACGCTGGACCAATTGTGCACCGCCCATGGGTCTCCCGGTCGCGGCCGGCTGCGACAGAGCCTGGACTCTAACCAGGATCTCTAGTGGCACAGCTAGCACTGCGATGCAGCGCCTTAGACCACTGCGCCACTGTGGTATCATAAGTTAGACGGCATTACGGTGTGATAAGAGTGTCTGCTAAATGACCAAAATGTAAATATAAAAATGAACACTTGCAAAGCATGATGGGTATTATTCTAATTAGCTCCGCCCCTGAAACAAAGGCAATAATACAGTGTGCTTTGCACTTTTTCAGTTTTACATTTTGGACATTTAGCAGAGACTCTTATCCAGAGTGACTTCAGGCGTCAGCATGCTTCGGCTAGCCGAATCCAGCGAGTGTGCTCGGATACTCCCTTAAAAGACCTTTGCTTGGCCTCCCGAGTGGTGCAGCGGTATAAGGCACTGCATCGCAGTGCTTGAGGAGTAACTACAGACCCGGGTTCAATCCCAGGCTGTGTCACAACCGGGAGTCCCATAGGGCGGCGCACAATTGGCCCCGCGTCATCTGGTTTAGGAAAGGGTTTGGCCGGGTTAGGGGAGGGTTTGGCCACAAGGAGCTTTAGCTTGAAAAACGAGAAAAACGCGGCAATAGTACTGTTTGTCCATTTTGAGATGCCGTAGCCAGTATACACTTCCTCAAAAATAGTCAGAATTAATCTTAGACAAGTCAAGAAATTTCATAAATTCTTTTGTTTTTGCCGAAGAGTTCTTAGTCCCTCAATTTTACATCTAACTAAGATGTTTGGTGCAGTATTTTCCAATGAAAAATTTGCATGAAAACGAGTCATCTCTCATTGAATGACAGACTTTATTGAAGAATCTCTACTGTTGACCAATCACCAACGGAAGGGCGTAGACTTCGGCTCCGAGCTTTGGCTTGCATCCAGAAAAAATTGTGCCCAAAATGAAGTCCAAAACGAACAACGTCACAAAATGTCGACATAATATATGAACAAACTCTACCGAACTGTTTCGGTTGGGAAGCATGCGGACATATTTGCAACAATTTCAGTTCACATAAGGAAATCAGTCAATTGAAATAAATAAATTAGGCCCTAATCTATGGATTTCACATGACTGGGAATACAGATATGCATCTGTTGGTAGGGGTGTGGATCAGAAAACCAGTCAGTATCTGGTGTGACCACCTTTTGCCACATGCACCACGACATCTTGATCAAGCTGTTGATTGTGGCTTGTGGAATATTGTCCCACTCCTCTTAAATGGCTGTGCGAAGTTGTTGGATATTGGTGGGAACTGGAACACGCTGTCGTACACATCGAACCAGAGCATCCCAAACTTGCTCAATGGGTGACATGTCTGGTGAGTATGCAGGCCATGGAATAACTGGGACATTTTCAGCTTCCAGAAATTATGTACAGATCCTTGCAACATGGGGCTGTGCATTATCATGCTGAAACAGGAGGTGATGTTGGCAGATGAATGGCATGACAATGGGCGTCAGGATCTCGTCACGGTATCTCTGAGTATTCAAATTTCCATCGATAAAATGCAATTGTGTTTGTTGTCCGTAGCTTATGCCTGCCCATACAATAAACCCACCGCCACCATGGCGCACTCTGTTCACAACGTTGATATCAGCAAACCACTCGCCCACACAACACCATACCGGGATTCATCCAGCGTGCCAGTGGCCATCTGCCCACTGAAGTCGGTTACGGCACCAAACTACAGTCAGGTCAAGACCCTGGTGAGGATGACGAGCACGCAGATGAGCTTTCCTGACACAGTTTCTGACAGTTTGTGCAGAAATTATTTGGTTGTGCAAACCCACAGCTCGTCTAAGACCATCCAGCAAGTGAAGAAGTCGGATGTGGAGGTCCTGGGCTGGTGTGGTTACATGTGGTCTGCGGTTGTGAGGCCGGTTGGACATACTGCCAAATTCTCCAAATTGGCTTATGGTAGAGAAATTAACATTCAATTATTTGGTAACAGCTCTGGTGGACATTCCTGCAGTCAGCATGCCAATTGCGCGCTCCCTCAAAACTTGAGACATCTGTGGCATTGTGTTGTGTGACAAAATTGCACATATTAGAGTGGCCTTTTATTGTACCCAGCACAAGGTGCACCTGTGTAATGATCATGCTGTTTAAATCAGCTTCTTGATATGCCACACCTGTCAGGTGGATGGATTATCTTGGCAAAGGAGAAATGCTCACTAACAGCAATGTAAACAAATTTGTGCACAAAATGTTTGCTTTTTGTGCGTAGGGCTGTTACGTTGACCGTATTACCGCCAGACCGGCGGTCAGGAGTCATGACCGCAGTCAAATTTCACGTGACCGTTTAGTCACGGTAACTAGTCTTCTCCAAGCTCTGATACTGCTGATGGTCATTACTAGCTTACCAAACTTGCTAACTGCCTGGTACTCAGCACTCTATTGTCCCTCTAATCACTGACATCAATGCAAATTAAATCAAAAATCTAATCAAACACTTCATGAGAGCCCATGAGCTCATGTTACGCAACATTTCTATAGGCTATGCAATTGCCTGAGAAAACAGTTGATGGCCTCTATTAAAAAGAGGATCCCATCAGCTTTCTATAGGCTAGGCCTACTATATTGATCAACTTTCCTAATATTAAGCACATTGCTTCGCTTTACAACAGGAGTATAGCCTACATGACTGGCATGAAAATGAACCACGGAAAAACGTCCTCCATTCGCTATTTAAGTGCATAGATGTTGTCTATTTTTTACCCTGCCCCTGTTACGACAGGTGCATGATAATGGTCCATTCTAAATCAAAACTAATTTCACACATATTATTTAGTATATGTAAAGACAACATTAAATTAAGAATAGTCTGATGGGTGACTATTAGCCTATCACTTGTGAATGATGCCCAGTGTGTGCAGTACGGCAAGAAACAGCGCAAGCCTTTTTTTTGCTACTTTTTCAAATCATAGTAGCACACCTCATGTAGCCTAGCCCATAGGCCTATATGTTTTGATAAGGTTTGTATCACAACTAAAAAGTGGCCAAATAACTTCTTAAAATTAAGCACATTCATCTGCTTTACAAACAGTGTAGAGCCTAACTGGCATACATAGGCGGCGCGCGAGTTTCAAGTTTGAGGAAGATCATTTTCACCATTGCAGTCACTTGAGAACAGTGTTTTCCTGCTAATTGATTTGAGCATTTGCACTTATAGCCTACTGCCGTGTATGCATTGCTGCGCTTATAATGTGAAGAAATAGCCTAATAGTTTATCAACATTTTAAACTAAACGTTCTGATCTGTTCCATCAGCCTCATTGCTTTTACAAGGTTTTTTTGATCCGAGTGGTTGTATTACTTCTGTCCCAGAGTGTGTTTGGAATATTTATTTATTGCACAGAAGGACAAGTTGACCAATAGAACATGTCAACTTTTGTACTATTGGGCATAGTAGATTGACATAGGCTAGTGCGTTTGCTGGTCGTTAGGCTTACTCATCTTGTTGGCTGACGAAAAGTAGGCTAAATGTCGACAGTGCTTCTAACATCTTCAATATGTGCCTTGCAATTCGATAAGAGCGCGTCCCCGATGTGTCGGTCTTCACTTTTAGCCTACATGCCTGTGAGAAGGACCCGATCACGTGACGGGCATTGGCTAATAAGAATTTAGATATCTGAGAGAGCCATGTGAGTGAGAAGTGCTTCGGAGCACGGCAGCCAGGAGAAAGGAATTATCATTATATTATATATTTTGCCACAAAAGGCATGGATTTTTAGGGGGTATTACAGCCACACAAGGGGGATGCCGCTGGGAAATTCGAGGCCTGGTGAGAATATTATCAAGTGCTTGTCAAATTGTGAATAAGAGTGATGAAGTGTGTACAGCCTGCGCAAAAAACAATGCAGTGATCATGCCTTTCATGCGACTTTTTTCAAATCATCATTAGGTCGCATCATGCCTTAGAATGTATTAAAAATCTAAACATATAGCCCAACCTTTGTATCACAACTAAAGTTGCATAAATAACCAAATGAAGCATATAGGAGGACCTGTTTCTTTGTTAACCACTCAACACAGAATAGCCGCATGTGCGCACTTCCTTGGAAATCGTTTGGTGAAAATATCCTCTATTTTATTCAGCTATGTTCAATTGTATTCTTCATACTATAAAATAATAAAAAATAATGCCACGGAATTCTAAGCAAATCTTGTCTGCAAAATGAACTAGTGTAGCCCACAGCCATATGGCATAGCCAGATCAGGGCCTAATATAAGGACAACTCAGAGTATGCTATTCTGTTTTTCTGAAATAGACTACATTTTCTTCGTATCATGTTTCTTTAGACCCGTCTAAAATAAAGAATGGATTTATTGTGATGGTGTAGGCTATATTAAATGGATTTATCAGACTTATTATTAGAAATGTAGGATGTTCCAAGTAGAAAGTGACCACACATTACTTGCAGAGATGGGGCAAAGGACGCATCAAAACGTATCTTGTTAAAAATACAAGTTACTCTAAAGACCAAAACTATAAACGCAACATGTGAAGTGTTAGTCCCATGTTTCATGAGCTGAAATAAATCATCCCAGACATTTTCCATACGCACAAATAGGGCTTTGGCGGTCATGAAATTGTCAGCTGGTGATTGTCAAGCAAATAACTGCCGGTTTCACGGTAATTTACCGTTAATTAACAAACACGTTTAGAATCTCCTGGCTTCCACGCATAGCCTACAAGCCACTGATGCAGACCTTTAGAAAACTGGGATCATATTATTTCATTTTCCCCAATGTAGCATATATTTAAAAAAGTGCTCTATATGTTTCAGAATATTTTAGTCTTAGTGGTAAGGCATATACAGTAAGCAATATACTCTATGAGTATCTGTGTTGTTCCCCTGTGTTCACAGACGGGCCAAAGTTTACATTCACTGCTGCTTTAAGTAGTTCGGTTGGACCCTTCAATAGTGACACCACTGTGGTCTAGACCAGTCTTCACAAACATCACCAAAGCCTACATCCCAATTTCAGGTACTACTTGCACACCAATCTACATATAAAGCCATGTCCACAGGGGGCCAGCATCACTAACACGCTGCTCCAGTGTCTATGAGAGCCAGACGGTGTTGATTTCTCCCTGCTTTTCCTCTGATGCGGGTGTCTTCACAACTACCGGTGAAAGAAGTCTTCTTCAGATTCAGTGCAGGGAGTAACAGTTCATCCCGGTGGGTGACTGTACGCTTGTTAAAAAATGACCAGGGTATAATGTGGCGTCAACAGTGGAAGTGTCATGGACACCAAGAGAATGTATCCAATGGAGTGACTCTAGAGCTGGAAGAGGGAGACTTGGTTTACATGTGCCTCCCCCCTGGCTCCAAGTGCTATGAAGGTAGCATTTACCACCACATTTACAGTGGTTTCCTGCTCTACCTTATGTGAGGGGAACACCACAAACGCTGTATTGAGCCAATATGATATCTAGACAAAGGATACTCTGAGCTCCAATTGTTCCTCTGAAACATTTACATAATAAAATGTGAAAGAATTATCATGACTAGTCTTTTTGCATGTCCTTGCTGTGACTATTATTTCTGTAATCCTACATCTGATGGATGGTATTGGGTAAGGAGAGAAGTTGGGGTTGGGAGGGAGGGATTTTAAGATTGTACTTTTATCTTTGATCTTCCTTCAATGAAACAGTTACTGTCCCATGTTCTTAGGTCCCCACAGGAAAGGCTAGTGCTGATCTAGGTTCAGATTTGCCTTTGAAATCATAAATGAGTAAGAGGGGTTGACCTGATCATAGATCAGCAATCCTACTCTGAGATGCTTTGTGAATACAGGCCCCTTGGTGATGGAAACAAGGATCAGGCAGCAGTAGTGATGTCATAGGACACCAGGAAGTACACATAATGATAATAGCAGTAATAAAGTCGTTCCACGTCCAATAGAATCAAAAAAGAGGATATTGAACCTCACCTTCACAGAAATACTCTGAAATGTTTTCTGTAGTTATAAACAGAGCAGATATGCATTCCTATAACATTATTTTGTAGAAAAATAATTTGATCTGTAAGAAATGAATCCAATTGGTTGCACCCAATTTAATTTATAGGATTCATATAATATTCAATAGATATAGTACCCAACATCAGATATTTCAACTAAATAATGTTGCAGGAACGCTAGTCTTATCTCTATCCAACTACAGAAACTATTTCAGAACAGTTTTTCCTGAGATGGTGGTTGTCATGGCTTGCTGAATTGACGTGGAACGACCCAATAACATTATTTATATTTTAAGGTTTATTATTAATAGTGTGGTCAAAGCGCTATTCTAACATTGGAGACAAGGTCACTATTTTATTCTAGACCACTGCTCATGGGCCCTGGATGATGTGTGGCGCGTTAGCGGCTGTATTAGCCTGCTAACTAAATAACGGCTAACCTTTTTTTTCATGGTCATGGCGTTCCTCAGGTGTATGGCCAGCTGGCGGATGTAGATGAAGCCGTGCTGGTAGGAGGCCTGTGTGTCTAGCGAGTACATCTCCGTCAGCGTCCGCTGCATGAAGTTGATCATGGGCAGCACGGTGGGTGACGTGAACTTGCAGTTCTGCACATACGAGATGTACATTTGCTGTGGGGAAAATGAAAGATTAGAGGGTTTAAAATGGTAGATGTTGATTTTGGGAGTTCTAACATTGTGCAGGCAACTTTACCCTTTCAACTTTGTAAAGTTACGTGCCACATTTCAGGTAGTTGCATATGCAGACACCTTTCCCACTAAGTGGTTAGCTATATTTTCTTGGCACTTTTAACCAAGATGTGTATACATTTTAAACATACTAACTATAAACAATATTTACTACCCTGGGCCAAATGAATGAAGTATATTTCACAAACGTGATGGTCTCACCTCCCCAGAGGATGGAAAAGAGAGAGAAACTGATGTAAGAGGACATACCTTGAGGATGGGGTTGAGAAAGGTGTCTTGCTTGTGTCGGCAGATCTTGTTGAGGGCCAGAAAAGCCAGCACGCGGCTGGTCTCCTCCCCGGTGCTCCACTGCTTGATCAGTTGCTAGAGACAGACAGGTGGCATGTGAGAGCTAGCTTTGGAGTGGAGGAAATACAAATGTTACCAGTCCAGAGCATGGTATTGCTGTCAGAGGAAAACCTAGCTGGTATCTCCAAATGTAAGACTTTTCCAGTAATGGCAAAAAATTGTCATGTTTGACCATTCATGAACATCATGAATTACAAATTTCTATTAATGTAAAAATGACAAGATGGAGTTAAAGTTATTTTGACCACTAATGACACCCTTTATATACTCAACTGACATTCCCAGAACTAAACCATAACTGCTAGGGCTATACATTACTGAAACATTTGCCCAATTTCTCCGATGATCTGCGTGCGGGTTCTCCACCCTACATATAGGTGGCGCTGTGGTAACCGGAGCGCACCTTGAGCAGGTGGCGACACTGTTTGGGGTTACACAGGTAGTAGGGCACCAGCTGGTTGGCGTGCCTCAGGACCGCGCTGATGACTGTGGCTTCGGTGAGACAGGACAGGAGCTGTAGATGGAGAGTTCAAGTTTCATTTATTTGCCAAGTACAGGTACATACATTGGAATTTCTCTTCAACAAGAGCTCAATAGTAAAAAGGTAGAAGATTTTAAAAAACCAAGAGTACATACAAATAACTACATATGCAAGATAGGAAAGTGGGGAAGAGGGAGAGGTATCAGTGTCAATTCAGACAAGGGGGAGGGGAAAACGGGCTGGAAGATGAAACCAAGAGCGGGACAAACCTGAACGATGCCGCTGAGGTACATCCTAATGTCCACCTGGTTCTTCTGCCATTTGGGACTGGATGATGGAAGCACTGGCCTGAAGATGACAAGATTACAGAAGAAAGATGGAGGGACAAACCTTAGCTTTTTGTCGATCTTGACAGACAAATACATTGGCTCATTGGTTAATCTGTTTGGCATTTTTTTTTGTACTCAAAATGAAGTGCTTGGAAAATGGTTGAAGCTAATGTTAAGACATGAGACAAGGCACTCGTTTTTACTTCTTCTGATCTTTATCTGGCTTTAGGTTCAGCATCCTCTGCAGAGCCACATATACGTCTCGGATACAGAAAAGGACCAAGGCGTTGAACACTGTTGGAAAGAAAACAAAGAAATAGACACACACACACACACTAAACTATATCATTGTCCTTGGATGTGTACAGGCCAAAATGTTGTTGATGCTACTAAAGAGGGGATCATGCACACTCATGGGTTAAGTTCCCTACCTGAACTGTCGGCCACTTTGTATCGACACGGATCTCCCCCCTCTCCTTTGGTGGTCGCCACGGCAGCCTTGAAGGCCTGTGTGACCTCTCTGAAGATGCGAGGGGTAGGCTCATCCTAAAGACAAAGACATGGAGGGGAGGGGAAAAATAGACCCACCTAATGATGAGAATGAAGGGCAAAAGCCCTGGTATTGTGGTACAGTATACGCATGCTACAACTCTTAACACCCAAGAAGAAGCCCCTTCACTTCATATTACATTATGTTTTCAATATGTTATGCTACAGGTAGGTAGCCCAGATGTTTGATTGATGGAAGATGGGACAAATAAAGTACCATTCTATCATGGAGAAAAAAAATCTCTAAAAGTTGGCTAGTGATAAGGACCATCATGCAACCTGCATCAGTGTGGTTGCGTGTCTGTTTTCATTACTACACCTAAAGTCTGGTAGAGAAAAAAGGTGGAGGTCTATGCTAGGTGGATAGTCTGTAGATAAGCGTTACCTTGATTGCAGCTCTCCACTCATCAACCATTTTCTCTGTGACTTTGATAACCTCCGCTGCCTTCTTAGATTTCTTGGCGGACTCTCCTTGTTCCTCCTCATCATCAGAGCTGGCCTCCTAGGGTCACACATAAGATTCAAGTTAACATGATTCTGAAGAATGTTAAGGGCATACAGGCAATGCGAAAAACAGTCCATGCCAAGGGACACAAATCACAAATAACTGAAGACGAGCTGGCTTAAACCATGGACCTGTCAAATTCAAAAATATATATAATTGGTGTTAAGTGACATTTTCATCCTCTGGCTAAATAAAGCATAGGCATACATATTAGAAACAGAAAACGGATTTGCATCAACTCACTATATACAGTGGGTCCGAAATTAGTGACACCCTTGATAAACATGAGCAAAAATGACTAAAATCAATATTTTAAATACTGAGCTATATTGTATGCTCCAAACATTTGGAAATTATATTATTCTCATACAATTGCTCAGAGGAAGATTTTGTTTAACAAGTAATCTTTTTTTTCCTCAAAGGTAGGGGTCAAAATTATTGACACCCCTTATTTTAAATACCTTTTAATAATACCTCACCTGGCAAGGATAACGTCACCCTGAGCCTTTTTTCTAAAATGTTTTATGAGATTGGAGTACATCCATACATAATATTTCCAGATCCTTGATATCCTTCGTCTGCGCTTATGGACTGCCCTCTTCAATTCAAACCACAAGTTTTCAATGGTGTTTAAGTCCGGAGACTGATACGGCCATTGCATAATGTTAGAAAACGACATAAACCTGAATTACATTTTCACATCATGAAACATAAGTCAATGAGTCAAAGCCCTACTACCTCTAGTTGTTTCGGCAGTGTGTGGTACTTCCTCTCCTCCTCATCCTCAGAGCTGTCTGTGTCGTCAAAGTTGAGCAGGGTCTGGTCGTTTTGCTGCAAGAACTTATAGAACTCTGGATCTTTGCTTTTTAACCTTGACAGTGAGTCCTTGTGCTGGGAGGCCTTGCCTTTCTTTCTGTCATCACCCCTGCACGACAGGTCATACTCCTGTATTAGACAACATTTTACCAGGTGACCAGGACTAAAGTAATTGTGGGAGAGACACCGATTGAAGTGAGACTGACACTTACTTGTCTTGAGCTGCAGATTTCCCTGCTTTCTTCTTCTTCGACTTCTGTCCATACTGGGTGGGAGTGTCATCCTCAGAATCAGCCTCACCTGCTGAGTCAAAGCCAGATAGCAGAAACTCGTCCACACTGAGATCCTCCAACTTCCTGCAACATAGAAACAATGCACAGCCAATTTAGCAGACAAAGATATTTACAAAGTCAAATATCAGTTACTTAACGTTAGCTATACTCTAAAAAGCTAGCTAGCAAATTAGCTACTGTTAGCTAGATCAGATATTAAGAAAAGCCTCCAGTGACTATGGAGAGTGAGTTAGCTAACTCGCTAGTTTAGTTATGTTGCTAGATTTGATGAGTTGACAGTTCAGTAAACCATTCCAAAACAAACTTGCAAACTAAACAGCATACCAGAAAGGGACTATTTAAAATGAGCTATCAACCACGCTTTCACTATTCCTAGGCAAATGAAGAACGACATAACGCTAACACTTCACATGTAGCTACAATACATACAGAAGCTATATTATTATTTAAAAGTAGTGTTCGTTATCAGTACGCATATTTAAATGTGAGCAATTTACCTTTTGCTTTTCTGTTTTCCTGCCATGCTGGATAAAAAAACGTGACACCAAATTCGGGTCCCAGAATGCAACGGTGTTAGTCGGTGGGGGCGTTCCAGCTCGTATTTGTTGATATCAAAATTGCTATAGACAAATGGTTTGATGAAAGTGACGTGTATAAACGCTTGATTACTTACAGGGGGCGGTGTATTGAAGCCACCGCGCAGCCATCTTTGCACACCTCAATTGTAAAACATATTTTGAAAGCTATAGAAATTAATTTATTAACGTCTACATTCGTTTTTGACACGTTGGTTGCAAAATAGTTGGGAGGAGATTTTAGATGTACCGATTCCATGGCACATGGTTTATGAACTGATACACAAAACGACACAGGATTTAAAACTTTTTCAATTTAAATTATTATACAAAATTCTTGCAACCAATAGAATGTTCTATATATGGGGGATACAACCATTCCAGCTCTGCATATTTTGCTGCAAAGAGACAAAATTATTAGATCACTTGTTTTGGTACTGCCCATATGTAGCTTGTTTTTGGTCGCAGGTTCAGGAATGGCTGAAAAATTACAACATTTACTTATAGCTAACTCTGCAAATACCACTGCTGGGTGATTTGCAAAAATGATTATTTAATTTACAATCTTTAGAAACTATGAGAATAGTTGGTCTTCAGAGATAGATGGGAGGGGTTGAGGGTAGCTGAAGGCTGGGACTAAAATCAAACAAAAGATAACTAATGTAAAATATACTGTGTTCGTAAAATGTATATAGTATGTATAAGCTGTAAGTAAAAGCCTAGGTATTGTTGTCCATTAGTTTACTCCAATTAGGGGAGGGGTGGTAGGATTAGGGGAAAATAATAAAGAAGGAAAATATGTTTTAAAGTATTTATACACTACCGGTCAAAAGTTTTAGAACACCTACTCATTCAAGGGTTTTTCTTTATTTGTACTATTTTCTACATTGCATAATAATAGTGAAGACACCAAAACTATGAAATAACACATATGGAACCATGTAGTAACCACAAAAGTGTTAAACAAATCAAAATATATTTGAGATTCTTCAAATAGCCACCCTTTGCAGCTTTGCACACTCTTGGCATTCTCTCAACCAGCTTCATGAGGTAGTCACCTGAAATGCATTTCAATTAACAGGTGTGCCTTCTTACATTTACATTTTACTCATTTAGCAGACGCTCTTATCCAGAGCGACTTACAGTTAGTGAGTGCATACATTATTTTTTATTTTTTCATACTTTCATTCTTAAAAGTTAATTTGTGGAATTTCTTTCCTTCTTAATGCATTTGAGACAATCAGTTGTGTTGTGACAAGGTGTGTGTGTGTTGGGGGTATACAGAAGATAGCCATATTTGGTAAAAGACCAAGTCCATATTATGTCAAAACAGCTCAAATAAGCAAAGAGAAACAACAGTCCATCATTATTTTAAGACATGAAGGTAAAGAAGAAAATGAAAGTTTCTTCAAGTGCAGTCGCAAAAACCATCAAGCGCTATGATGAAACTGGCTCTCTTGAGGACCACAAGGACCCTCTGCAGATCCACCGCTGAAAAACATCCCCACAGCATGATGCTGCCACCACCATGCTTCACCGTAGGGATGGTGTCAGGCTTCCTCCAGACATGACGCTTGGCATTCAGGCCAAAGAGTTCCATATTGGTTTCAGACCAGAGAATCTTGTTTCTCATGGTCTGAGTTCTTTAGGTGCCTTTTGGCAAACTCCAAGCGGGCTGTCATGTGCCTTTTACTGAGGAGTGGTTTCCGCTTGGCCACTCTACCATAAAGGCCTGATTGGTGGAGAGCTGCAGAGATGGTTGTCCTTCTGGAAGGTTCTCCCATCTCCACAGAGGAACTCTGGAACTCTGTCAGAGTGACCATCGGGTTCTTGGTCACCTCCCTGACCAAGGCCCTTCTCCCCTGATTGCTCAGTTTGGCCGGGCGGCCAGCTCTAGGAAGAGTCTTGGTGGTTCCAAACTTCTTCCATTTAAGAATGATGGAGGCCGCTGCGTTCTTGGGGACCTTCAATGCTGCAGACATTTTTTGGGACCCTTCCCCAGATCTGTGCCTCGACACAATCCTGTCTCGGAGCTCTACGTACAATTCTTCGACCTCATGGCTTGGTTTTTGCTCTGACATGCACTGTCAACTGTGGGACCTTATATAGACAGGTGTGTGCCTTTCCAAATCATGTCCAATCAATTGAATTTACCACAGGTGGACTCCAATCAAGTTGTGGAAACATCTCAAGGATGATCAATGGAAACAGGATGCACCTGAGTTCAATTTCTAGTCTCATAGCAGAGGGTCTGAATACTTATGTAAATAAGGTATTTCTGTATTTTATTTTAATACATTTGCTAAATTTTCTAAAAACCTGTTTTTGCTTTGTCATTATGGGGTACTGTGTGTAGATTGATGAGGATTATAAAAATATATATCAATTTTAGAATAAGGCTGTAACGTAACAAAATGTGGAAGAAGGGAAGGGGTCTGAATAATTTCTGAATGCACTGTAATTATTCCATTGCTGACAACGTATGACGTTATGTCGTGATCCAAGCCCATGCTTGCTTGCTATTATTATTTCTTCCCGCCCAGACATGTTTACCGAGCCACTGATCATAAGAAAATTAAATGACAAATGTAGATTGTTTATGTTGATTGTACAAATGTCATGGCATAGGTGTTGGAAGAGAAAAGTTTTGCTCCTCTCAAAAGTGAAACAATATATGGGGCAAGTGAATTAGCCTACCTTCATCTAAATCTGTGTCTGGAATAAATGCAGGCAGTAGTAGACAGCCATTCATTAGGCTATTTATTAGCCTATGTCGTTGATAATTGAATAGGACTAAGTAAGAAAATCATGTGCATTTTCATCTGTCAGGTCGTTTAACAATGTGTGTGAATGAGTGAAGGAACATAACAATGTGCTCTTAAATGTACTCTGACTGACCTTCTTCTTTTTAAAAGTTTTATGACAGACTACTTTGGTGTATTGCCGCCACCTACTGTACAGGGTTTTGAAACAAAAACAAAAAATATTATTTTTGCGGACTGTTAATGCCAAGAGTGTGCAAAGCTGTCATCAAGGCAAAGGGTGGCTACTTTGAAGAATCTCAAATATAACATATATTTTGATTTGTTGAACACTTTTTTGGTTACTACATTATTCCATATGTGTTATTTCATAGTTGTGATGTCTTCACTATTATTCCACAATGTTGAAAATAGTAAAAATAAAGAAAAACCCTTGAATGCGTAGGTGTCCAAACTTTTGACTGGTACTGTATATAATCCTCTTTTTAAAATGTGTATAAATTCCTGGAGTGGACATGAATACTTACCCTGTGCAGCCTTTTAAATATAGGCTTTTAATTGCATGCCTTTTTAAACATGTACAGTGGGGGAAAAAAGTATTTAGTCAGCCACCAATTGTGCAAGTTCTCCCACTTAAAAAGATGAGAGAGGCCTGTAATTTTCATCATAGGTACACGTAAACTATGACAGACAAATTGAGATTTTTTTTCTCCAGAAAATCACATTGTAGGATTTTTAATGAATTTATTTGCATATTATGGTGGAAAATAAGTATTTGGTCACCTACAAACAAGCAAGATTTCTGGCTCTCACAGACCTGTAACTTCTTCTTTAAGAGGCTCTTCTGTCCTCCACTCGTTACCTGTATTAATAGCACCTGTTTGAACTTGTTATCAGTATAAAAGACACCTGTCCACAACCTCAAACAGTCACACTCCAAACTCCACTATGGCCAAGACCAAAGAGCTGTCAAAGGACACCAGAAACAAAATTGTAGACCTGCACCAGGCTGGGAAGACTGAATCTGCAATAGGTAAGCAGCTTGGTTTGAAGAAATAAACTGTGGGAGCAATTATTAGGAAATGGAAGACATACAAGACCACTGATAATCTCCCTCGATCTGGGGCTCCATGCAAGATCTCACCCCGTGGGGTCAAAATGATCACAAGAACGGTGAGCAAAAATCCCAGAACCATACGGGGGGACCTAGTGAATGACCTGCAGAGAGCTGGGACCAAAGTAACAAAGCCTACCATCAGTAACACACTACGCCGCCAGGGACTCAAATCCTGCAGTGCCAGACGTGTCCCCCTGCTTAAGCCAGTACATGTCCAGGCCCGTCTGAAGTTTGCTAGAGCGCATTTGGATGATCCAGAAGAGGATTGGGAGAATGTCATATGGTCAGATGAAACCAAAATATAACTTTTAGGTAAAAACTCTACTCGTTGTGTTTGGAGGACAAAGAATGCTGAGTTGCATCCAAAGAACACCATACCTAGTGTGAAGCATGGGGGTGGAAAATTCATGCTTTGGGGCTGTTTTTCTGCAAAGGGACCAGGACGACTGATCCGTGTAAAGGAAAGAATGAATGGGGCCATGTATCGTGAGATTTTGAGTGAAAACCTCCTTCCATCAGCAAGGGCATTGAAGATGAAACGTGGCTGGGTCTTTCAGCATGACAATGATCCCAAACACACCGCCCAGGCAACGAAGGAGTGGCTTTGTAAGAAGCATTTCAAGGTCCTGGAGTGGCCTAGCCAGTCTCCAGATCTCAACCCCATAGAAAATCTTTGGAGGGAGTTGAAAGTTTGTGTTGCCCAGCGACAGCCCCAAAACATCACTGCTCTAGAGGAGATCTGCATGGAGGAATGGGCCAAAATACCAGCAACAGTGTGTGAAAACCTTGTGAAGACTTACAGAAAGGGTATATAACAAAGTATTGAGAAACTTTTGTTATTGACCAAATACTTATTTTCCACCATCATTCGCAAATAAATTCATTAAAAATCCTACAATGTGATTTTCTGGATTTTTCTTTCTCAATTTGTCTGTCATAGTTGACGTGTACCTATGATGAAAATTACAGGCCTCTCTCATCTTTTTAAGTGGGAGAACTTGCACAATTGGTGGCTGACTAAATACTTTTTTACCTCACTGTATACTTACCTGCAATGGCCTTTTAACAT